TCCACTTGGTTTTTAACAGGTTTTGCCCTAAACACTTGCATATATTGAACTGGGTTTTTAGCTCTACTGGTCAGAGACCAGAAGAGCTTATGCGATAGTAATGCGTCCGTCGTCCGTCCGTCTGTCTGTCTGTCCGTCTGTCTGTCTGTCTGTAAACAATTTTTCAAAATGCTACTCCTATTAGAGTTTAGGTCCGATTTCAATATAACTTGGCACACAAGTAGACTACACTAAGATACATAATTCTGTGCATCGGTTTTTGATTTCGATGAACGGTGTTGCCATGGTTACTAAAAATAGAAATTTCTGTGAACTTCTTTCAAAATGCTACCTCTCTTACAGTTTTGGTCCGATTTCAGTATAACTTGGCACACAAGTAGACTACAGTAAGATACATAATTCTGTGCATCGGTTTTTGATTTTGATGAACAGTGTTGCCATGGTTGCTAAAAATAGAAATTTCTGTGAAATTCTTTCAAATGCTACTCCTCCTTTAGTTTTTTTTTAATATAACTTGGCACACAAGTAGACTACACTAAGATACATAATTCTGTGCATCAGTTTTTATTTTGTTGAGTGTCAAGGATCATTTTTCTATTGATTCCTGATTTGAAGTCTCAAGTCACAACTGCTACTTTTCTCTTCCTTTGTTTTAAGTATAAACCAGTAGAGCTACAGTTTCGACAGAGACTTCTGGTTTTGTATTTGAGTTGATCTACATTGATAAGTTCTAAATCAAGTTTGCATTCTGCCCACATTAATGATTTTTGATGGAATTACATACTTTGGAATTTTTAAGGCTCTGATTATATTCTTGCCACTAGACTAGTTTCGGTTATCATGCAATGCTCTCAGAACTCTTAATTTTTAAGAAAATTGATGTACATGTACCGAAAGTGGCTATAACTGTCATTAGATTGGATTGTCATTAATTTGAATTGGATTATCCACAATACCACATCATGAAATCAAATATATAGGCCACCCACAATTAGGTCATAAGGGTGGATCAGCTTCATTTGAAAGATTAATGGTCCACCCCCAATAAAAGAGATTTCTCTGTTGTATGCTTTACATGAAACATGACTTGGTCATCAAAAATAAATATTGCTCCATACCATTCCTCTCTTCACCCCAAGACATACACAAGGAGATTATAAAAACAAATTCCTAATCTGTCATATTCATTTTTTATCTCTTAAGTTATGAACCTTTAGATGCTAACCTTTTTAATCCCAAAGAAACCTTTTCGAGTGGGAGGGATGGCATTTTGATTGTGTAAGGGAGATAGCTTGACAATCATAGTGCTATTGTAGCCAAGCTGCAAAAAGCTCTTAAAACACAAGATAACTGGTTGTTTGTGGAAGAGCTTTTTTATAGTCTCATTGGTGGCAAATGTGAAACTTTTTACTCTTTCTTATCAAACATGAATGAAATGAGGGCACTTCAAACATAAAAACCTATAATGTTCAAAGAAATTACTTTCTCATGACAGTTATATTAAGAATTATTTGATAAAAGAAAACTTAATTAGGAAAATAAGTGCTGTAATTACATGTATTTTAAGTATGAAAGTATCTTTTATTTGGCCAGAAAAGGGTATTATGTAAAATGTCTGGATAAGATCTGAGTCATGTTTAAAAAATTCAAGATGTATAAAAAAAAAAGCTGGCTTGATAGTTTAGATCAATGACTACTTTATCAAAAGGTTAAACATGTTAAAAAGTAAGGAATGATTATGCTGCAGATGTACTTGGAAATTTTGAAGTACAATCGGAATTAAGGTGTGAAAATGAAATGTCATAGATCAAAGTCATTAACTGCATCATATTGTAAAGTCACATAATGTATGTAAACACTATACAGACACTCCACCCAGAGTTTGGGGGATGCTGCGACCTTTGTTGTCTGGCATGGTCCATTGATTACAGATAAATAAATCGATGACCTTTGTTTGTGGGAGGGAAACAGCTGTGGAGGATATATACTTTATCTCTGATTTCTCAATGGCCTTCATGATTTATTGAAGTGTACATGTGAATTGTAATGTATAAAGTTAGGGAAAATTAGTCATGCTTACTCAAGTTGTTTTTTTTGTATTTTTGATTTAATATTTTTATGTTGTTTGCAAGTCTTCTTTAAATATTGCTATAATAAACAGAGACTCGCAATTAATCCTATTCAAATTTTAAAAAAGTTAATGAAAGCAGTACCTTATAAATAAAAAAAATAATTTTTATCTAATTTTCTCTCAAACTAAAGAAATTACATATAATTCATTAGTAATTAAGTTGCATGTGTTCATGGATTTTTTCATTTGGCTTTTAAAAACAGAATTTACATAATCTTGAAAAGACTCACTAAAGTATACAGTAGTATGTAGCAACTGTTGAGTTTAAGGTGGTATATCCTTAATCTTACAGTGTAGTGTTTGCTGTTGTGTAACATCAGCTTCATAGAGGGGCTTTATTAAGAAACTTCACTTACTAGTAGGAGGACTGATTTCCTTAAATACTTTGCAACTTTTAGACATTTTAGTTCTTACATTTCATCATTAAGGTTTAGATGGATTTCTTATTATGTTCTAAAGCATATTTTAAAGAAACTCAGAAATTCTTAGCAGTGTGGCATATTTTTCCATTAAGGACATATGCAACATACATGTAGTTTGAATTTTATTGTGTTTGTCCCTGGAGGTGCAGAGTGCCAATACTTAAAGGAACTGTGTGCTACCTTTCAATGTCTATTTTTACTGTTGAAACCTTAAAAATGTCCCTAAACAGAAAACTGTTAAGTTAATTGCTGCACATTTAAACTTAAAAATGCATAAAAGTTTTTGTTTATAAATATGAAATAATTTTGAGAGAAATGTTTTAATTATTTATAACCATTTTAATTTAATTATTAACCAAGTTGATCTACATCAAACAAGTGATATATGAAACTCCTAGAAAGGGAAATTGAAACTTGGGCAAAATTTGACAAATTTTCTCTGAAGGCAAACAAAATTGACATCTAGACAAATTGCAAGTGCATAAAATGGAGTAGTGGGGATCAATAATGCAGATTTAACATTTTCTAGAAAAATCCAGGTCATTTTTTGACAAATTCTTTGCAGTTGGAGGAAAAGTTTTATTGAATTATGCGGCATATCTGTATCGATTTTTGCTGTTCAGCTGCACAAATCTGGGGGAGATTTATAACTTTTACAGAATATTCCAGGGACTTGGAAAAGTTCATCACTGTTCATTTTATGTGCAGTAGTTCCCTTCTGCACAATAAAGTCTCCTTTTTCATCATTTCCAATCAATATTAGCTGCATACCTAATGACAAGGACTAGACTTTAAGATGTGAACATATATTTATTAAACCATTCTGAAAACTGGGGCATTTATTAAGATTAATTTTCTTGAATTATTGTTATTTCAGACTGATACAAGTAACCAATTGAGCATCCTCCATTATATTGAGTTCCTATTATTTCTTTGCATTCTTCTTCATTATGGGAATACATGTATAGCTATAACAAGTAAAACTGCTTAGGAAAGCTGTATACAACTTGTTTGGGTTATCAGTTAGTGGTCATATATATAATGAAAATATTCATAGACATTTCTGAATCAATGTCTGGATTTATGGACTGACTGATTGCAAGATGAAATAAAGAAGTTGCATGACTTCATATCCTTAAGGAATCTAGTAATATAGTTTGTTTGGGTTTTCAGCTATATAATAAATACGGTATAGTCATAGAACATTTTAGTGTCTGGAACTATGGACCATATGATTGTCACTTGAAATAAAAGAATATTGACTTTAAATCTTCATGAAATGTATGGCCATGATTGAAAATAAAATGCACCTTTTGAAAGTATCAGTATTTTACTCATGTTGAGTGTAACCTCAAAAATCTCTTCTTTTCAATGTTCTCACTGAATATACAATGAAAATGTCAATTTGAAAAAATAAAAGTTTTGGTTTTATTTTTAACCCTAAAAATCTAGTGCTTTCATAAATCCATAGATGATGGGAAAATAGTCTTATCAATTCTGAAACAATTTGAATGCATTCTTTTTAAAGTAATATTAAAAAGGTTTGTTTCCATATTTGGTCTTCAGGAACTTATTGTTTATCCTGCTTTCTATTCATTAATAAAAGTTTGGAATACATGTACATGTATATAAATTTGTGAATTAAGGTCACCATGTACCTTAGAAAACCTTGTGTCTTTATATTGTACCATGGAGTTACATTGCTAAACCACTCAAATAAGGCTTGACATATCACTTCAAAGGGTATCAGGTCCTCAAATATATCAGCCAATATTGCAATAAGGTAATATAAATTGTCTGAAGTTGCATGAATTTTATTCTCAGGAATGACAAACAAGATTATCTCAATATAAAGCTTGCAATTTTATTGAATTTTTTTTCTTCATAACTTGCAGGAGATATTCATTCCCATTATTTAAGATACAGTCCTATTAATTATATTTTATAATTTTATAATAAATGTTTTCTACATTTCAAATCAAATTTTTAAAAAATATCACATTTCTGATGGCATTTTATATTTTACAATTCCTATTTGCTTAGAAAATTAAAATTTGTATTCTCTTTGTAATATTTATTCTTAACTTCAAAAAATATTTTGGAAAAAAATAAATTCAAAGAATCTCTAAAATAATGTTTAACTTTACTTTAAATGAAGATAGTCCACTCAAATTATGCTAAATGAATCATTTTCCACCAAGAAGTTGGAAAATAAACGTTTCATTTTTTACTTCCTTCAAATTTTGGCAGACTTTTGATATTCTAGATGATTTTAATCACTGTACAGGGGACCCTTATTTTTTGACAATTGAAAAAGACTAAGGAGACACTTATAGGGACAGGGGCGGTTAATAGGGATTATACAGTATTGTATTTGTAGATACATTAGTTTGTTTGATTTGCTGTGAGTTTGCAGTGGCTTAGTAACGTTCTTTCTTTTGGTGTAGGTGACAGTGTGCTACTAACCTCACTCACAACAGGAAGTGTAACCATGGAAACTAACATAGCAACCACTACAATATCAGAGACTAACACAGTGTCCACAGTAGCATCAGAAACTAACAGAGTGACTTCTATAGCATCAGAAACTAGCAAAATAACATCTGAAACTAGCATAGTAACAAATTCAGAACAGGAAACAATTTCAATGACTTCTTTACCTTTGCAAAGTAGTGAATTAGTTTCATCATCAGCAACTAGTGTGGTAAACACAATATCAACAAATATTATGACCAGCTCTGTGTTAATGACTTTAAGCACATCATCTTTAGAATCATCATTGAGCTACTCATCTCATTCCATACAAGCTGCAGTCCCTCAAACTTCACAGATGGAGCAATCTTCAGAAGCAACTACAAGTGTGTCGCAACAAATCACCTCTAGCCAAATTCAAACAACTATAGCTGCGAGTCAGCAAGAGTCTTCAGTGATGTCTTCTGCAATGTCAACAGTCCAAGTACAATCAAGCTCAAGTAGCCTGACTTCACCCAGTGCAGAAACAAGTCAGCAGCTATCTTCCAGTCAATCAACTGCTAGCAGTGAGATTTCTAGTCAAGGGTCTACTAGTGGAGATACATCTACAATTTCTTCAGTGCAGTCCATGTCTTCAACACCTACTTCCACAGGAAATGTTGTTGGTTCACTGACAACTGTAACAAAGTTGCCGACTTCAGATACACCACAAGTAACAACTTTGTTCTCATCAAGTACATTTCCATTATCAGTAACAACTCTGGCTTCTTCCTTCATATCATCAGCATCAGTCACTGGAAGTAACACTATTGTGGATTCCCTATCATCCATGGTGTCAGAATCCTCATCATCAATATTGCCACAGAGCTCCCTCCCAACAGAAATATCTTCAGCACCAGTGTCTGGAGTCTCAGCTCTAACTTCACAAACACCCAGCCAGCCCTCTTCATCAGAATTTACAGCTTCATCAACAACCACTGTAACTGCAAGTTCCAATCCAGTGTCACAAACCCTAGTATCATCACAGGAATCCTTACCTTTGTCTTCAACTGTTTCATCTACAGCTGCATTACTAACAAGCATTCAAAGTTCAGATGTGTTGCTACCATCCTCTGTGACAACATCTTCAGTATTATCAAGTTCTCAAGGAATCACCATATCTTCCATATCTGATTCAGTGACTGCATCATCAAAATTCAGTGACACAAGTGTGAATCCTGCATCTGTGATTTCATCGCCAACTCTAACAACCTTAGAAAGTGTGAATACCATGATAAGCAGTACAGACAGTTTAGGTTTCTTATCCTCATCCATCAATAAAACTCCAGCATCATCAACATCACCTATAATAACATTAACAAGTTCAAACAGTTTACATTCATCTAACATTATTAACAGTATTTCTAGTGATTTGGGTGCTGTGTCAACATCAATTCAGTTAGTTACTAGTTTGAGTGAATCGATTAGTGCTAGTAGGAGTGATGTGATTAACTCAACACCAAGTTTATCCTCAGTAGGTTCTGCTAGTGAGTCAGTGGAAGTAGTTTCATCCTTTGAAAGCTCATCAATTCAGCCTTCCATAGAAAGTACCAAAGTAACTGAGATAACATCTACATTGCTAAGCTCCTTTTCCACAACTGGATCTCCCACAACTACAATGCAGACAGCACAAAATTCCTCAACTGGTGGACTGTCAACACCATCAAGTGATATTTTGCTAACATCAGCAGTATTTACAACAAGAATAGACAGCAGTGTATTGTCTTCTGTAGGTAATTCTGAATCTTTATCACTCATTTCAGCCTCTTCAGATGCAGAAGTGTTGACATCTTCAACAATGGTTATTTCAACAACACAATTGAGCTCTGAAAGCCTTTCAAGCACCATTGGTCCTACAGAGAATACAACTGAAACACCATCTTCTACAGCAGCGTTTTCCACCATACAAGTGAGCTCTGGAATTCCTTCAGGTACTATTGCTTCTACTGGGAATTTGGCATCAACAGTGATCTTTTCTACTACACAATTAAGCTCAGAAGCCTTTTCAAGTATTGAAAGTTCTATACAAAATTTATCTCCAACAGCTGTATTTTCCACTTCACAAATGATCTTAGGAAATCTTTCCAGTGCTGTTGGTTCCACAGAAATTGTAAATTCAACAGTATCTTCATCTGCTCTGAAGATGAGCTCCAGTGTTTTAGAAAGTGCCATCAGTGCTACAGAGATGCTAACAACATATTTACTTACATCTCAGATAAATTCTGATATCCATATCCAGTCAAGTTTGACAGGAAATTTTACATCAGCTCCATCCTTATCAGAGTCAATGGCCAGTGCAGTGGTAACAACACAAAGCCCAACTTCATTTGAAAGTTCAGAGCTGACAACACCACAGACAACAAGCAGTTTTGTAGCCACATCTACTGACAGTTCTTTGGTAACAACTCCTCTGGTCAACACAACTATTGAAACAATCCAGATCACTGTGACACCTTCCAGTGAATTCCCCACTGCAGCCAACAATGTAACAACAATAGAACTGTCTTCTGCACCTTCAACTTTGATACCAAATACTTCTGTTATTCCTTTTACAACAAGCAGCCTAGGAACCACTGAGCTGATCCCACCAATGATGTCAAACTATTCAACACCTGTGCTTTCTACCATTTCATCTGAACCAATTCTTGCAACTGTATCGCAAACATTTGAGCCAGTTAATGTGACTGTGGTAGAACAAACAACTCAGCAGACAACCATGGATATGTCTTCCTTCCCAACTGTTCTCCAGACAGAATCAATGGGAACTGGAATTTTGGAAAGTTCTTCAATATGGTCTAACTTCTCAAAAACAGAAATAGCCACTTCATCTTCAGTGATGTTTCCTACAGGAAATCTGTCAGAAACAACCATTTCACCAACATCACTTATCATGAGTAGTGCATTAACAGCTAGTTTGCTAGGAATGTCTTCTTTGTATGCATCAACAGATTTAGGAAATGGATCCACAGTGCTAATGTCCAGTACAGCCTCATCAATGGTTGAAAACTCATTTTCTCTATCTTTATCAGAAAATGCAAGCATTGGGGTTGTTTCAACTTCATTCACATTGAGCAGTGGACAACCAACAGTGATGCATTCTTTAAATGGATCCTTACAGACTTCAGTGGAAATAGAAACTTCCAGCCCAAGTATTGAGGTTTCAAGTGAGTTCTTTATGTCAACATTTTCGTTGCCAGAAGTTAACACATCATCAACTGCAGTATTGAGCAACTATACACCACAAGTTACAGGTGGACTGTTCACAACCACTATAGCACCACATCTTTCAAGTTCTTATTCCACAATTGATATATCAAATTCAAGCACTCTGCATCTTATAGTGTCAACTATATCAACAGAACTAATAAACAGTAGCATGTATAGTCCAACAACTACTAATATAGAGACAGTTACTCCCAGTATTCCGAGCTCCTTGGCAACTAGTCCAGTGATAACCAGCATGATCAATGCATCCATTCTGAGTAGTGATAGCATGTCCACAACACTGAGTATATCTGAAGTACTAACAAACTCTACAATAGCTGTACCAACATCAAGTAGTCAAGTGTCATCAGTGGGTATGAGTGAAACACTATCTAGCATGGGAATTGTGAGCACATTTAACACAGATATGGTATCAGAGAGTTTATCTAGCACAAATATGGTGCAAGAGAGCACATCTAGCACAAATATGGTGTCTGAGAGCACGGTTGGAGTGTCACCAAATATATCTAGCTCGGTTGTAGATCAGTCTTCACCACTGGTTCCAGATTTGTCTTCACTCTATTCAACATACAGTTCACCACAACACACAATGGTCAGCTCTCAAACTTCAAGTTTCTTTTCTTCAGTGTCATCAACTTTTGAAGCAGTGACAACAGATGTTCAAAGCATGACCTCTGTTGCTTCCTCAGCTATTCCCAACACCACCAAAGTAGTTTCTTCATCTCTTCAAAGTTCTTCCCAGACTGCATCAGCAACTCTTCAGAGCACCTTGACAACTGTTCCAGACACCTTTCTGACTTCATTATTTTCTTCAACTCCTTTGGTAACGGTAACACCAGTTAGTTCAGTAGAAGTAACATCCAGTACTATCCAGGCAGCAGTGTCAACTGTATCAACTCCACAAACATCTTCTATGATAACAGCCTCTTCAGTAGATGTGCAAAATTCCAGCCAGGCAGCAGTTTCAATTTCAACAACAACACAAGTATCTCTTTCAACAACAGTATCTGCAACTCCTGACATAAGTCCAACTCCATCTTCTCCAAGTGTAACAAGCCTTGTATCATCAACAAGACAAATATCAAGTACCCCTACATCAAACCAAAGTGTATTACCATCAACAAGCCAAATACCAGACACATCTAGTTACCAGACCAGTAAATCAGAGGATTCAACTCCAATGACATCTCAGGTGGTATCAAGTGTCAGCAGTGCAGTGCCAACAACAGATTTGATCTCTACAGTTTCAGCAATAACATCTGCTCTTATCTCAAGCTCTTCAGAGATGCAGATGACTGTGACACCTTCAGATATTCCATCGTCAACTGTAATGGAGTCTTCATCAGTGGTTACAGATAATACAACAGAGGCTTCAACTACAACTGAAGTTCCCTCTACCACCACAACAACAGTAGCAACGACACCAACAACACCAAGACCAACGACAACAGTTAATGCCATTTCCCTCTGGGTTGTTACAGGTATGCTTGAAATTGGTATCATAAGCAGTTGATAGAATGTGAACAGATTTATAAGAAATTTAATCTAGAAAACAGAAGGTATGTTGTTTCATTAATCCTTTGATATTGCAGTCTTGAAGATCCCTTTGAATGAGGATATTACCAACAAAACTTTTATCTTGTCCATGGAGGTTAAAATTGCAACCGCCTATGTGAAAGCTTTTGAGAGACAGAAGCAGATAGCAGAGGGGAATTATCAACCTCTTCGTAGGAGGCGGGCAGCACAGGTCCAAGACACTGTTGTAGAAGTAAGTTGTCCATACACAGATATGTATTAAATGAGTTATATGTCACATGTAGATTTATCCAAGTACATGTATGTGTGAGGCTTGTCAAGTGAATATACACATTTCAGTGAGTTAATTCTGATCATAACCAATTTTGATTGACTTTTGTTGTGTTGAAATAAATACATAAAATCTGCTGAACTCAAAGATAGAAATATCATGGAAAGTACATGTATGTACAAAATTTGGATCCACAAGAAAATCCACTGAATACCATGGTTATCAAGATTAACTTGTCAATGTGATTCATCCCTTACTCATGTAAATAATGTTTTTTTTTATTCATCCCTTTAACAGATTGCTAATGCTACCAGGACATCAGGTACAGGAAATGTGACCTTTGTTTACACAATCACCAAGAATGGAACCCAGGTTCGCTCAGAAGAAGCTGTCAGAACACTAGGATTGCTTAGTGACCAGGAAATGGCTCTCACTCTGGGTTATGTTGTGGCAGAAAAAGCAAGCAGTAAGTTTTAGATCATGCAAATTCTTTGTCAAGGGGATCAAAGACATGGAGTTTGCTTTAACAACATTAACCTTGGCCATTTTTTCTGATTCCTGTGAGAGAGCGACTTAATATGGGAACAATTAAAATCAAGGTCAATCTGTTAGTTCAAGGTAAAATATAGCAGTCAAGGTCAATAGAAATGTGCCATCAAAAGAATTTGCCATCATAAAGATGCTTACATAGCAAGCAGAATTCTGTCTTCTACAAATATCTTCCAAAATTTTAAATGTTTCAGAATTATTTCCATGATTTATATTGTAAAGATTTTTCAATTACAGTCACTATTTTTCTTTCATACCTCACTGAAAGTTATCATAATTTCAACTTAATTTTAATTGCACACACTCTTGTTTTACTGTATACCCCACCTCTCTACTGTAGCTTACTATGGGAGGAACACTGGGGGTGCTGCTACGGAGGAGAGCAATAATCTGTGGGTGGTGGCTGTGGCTGTCAGTGCAGTTGTACTTGTCATCATAATCATCTGGGTGATTTTCTGCTTTATCATCAAAAAGAGAGGTCCAGAGAGTTTAAAAGAGGGAGAGCCAGCCCAACTCCTTAAAATGAAAGGTGGAACGAAGGTAAAATCTAATACTGTATACAGGGAAATTTGCGGCCCAGTTTTATTTTCACTCCTTTCGCTCTCTACATGAATTGGCAAATTTAGAATGGGACAAATTTATAAAACATGGCATAATTTCATAAACAGAACTAATGAAAGGGGGCTCTCCGAAAAATATATAACAGAAAAGAGCTAAATTGAAAAAATTATTGTGCACAAAAAAGTGCACTGTTTCTCGATTTATTTCGCCAATTTTTTTAAACTGTCATCTAAAAATATTACTAACTGTGTGTTCCTAATATATTCTTTCACTGTTTCCACAACAAAACATACCTTATAATCATTGTAAATAGCCCTCCTGGCCCTGAAATTGAGATCATCGAGAAAATTTCGCCTAATTATAATGCCATTTGGTTTGTAAGATAATTTGGTCCAAACCGCTTCTTGTAACAGATGTAAACTACGAAAAAACTTGATAAGGGAGTAAGGAATCTTTTAAAATCTAGCTTTTTTGCAATTGGGGTCAGAATTTGGAAGAATTAATCCAGAGCCGTGCGCACTTTTTTGTGCGCAATAAATATACAATTTTTTCAATGGGTGGCACTGTAGCTCTCCGGTGACGGTCTGTCAATACATATTTTAGGAGAGCTACAGATCTGCAGCTAGGTGAATTAAAATGGGGAAAATTGTTCGTAAGTGCAAAAGCGTGAAAATAACACGGGGCGAAAATAACACTGCATACAGTATATACATGTTTATAGAATATGGATAATTCTTTGGGGATTAAACAAAATTTAGTTCACACTTCTGTGTAGATCTTCCTGTGATATTAATTGGGATGCTGTTGTTTTCATAAAGGATGATGAGTCAGTAGAAATGGTTCAGTCACCTAGCACCTCCACACAGAATGTGAAAAAGAGGCAATCTTATGAGGTCACCAAGGATGAAGATATGGAGGACCCAATGTATGCCACTGTTAAAAAGCCAGGGTCAGTTTACCAGTCTTGTATATCAAAAAACTTGTAATTGAGAATATTTTTTGTCTTGAATTAAATTTATATTTTTTTGAAACAGTAAAAAGCCAGCGAGAGAGGACTCTACAGCTGGTGAGTCGGCTACCTTGGCATCAGATGACACTGGGCTGATACCATCACCAAGTAAGAAGGGCAAGCGGAAGAAGAAGAGGAAACCCCCTACAGGTACAGAAAATGTGAATTCTAACTGGTTCTTATAAATAATTTGTACATGTACCTTATTGAAGTAAAAGTTTACATCAATATCTTTAAACACTAGGATTAATTGGTTCTATATTTTTCTATGATATACATTTTGTATAACTTTTATAGAGGATTTTGATAATATAGAGAGGGAAACTCACTTAGGGTCCTCAGCCCCACCTGAGCCATCCAGAGAATACAAACCAATGTCTTTGGAGGTATGTTTGAGGAGTTTCTGTTAACTGGTGCCACTAAAGGATAAGCTGTTGGCTGTAAAAAATATTAAATTTGAAAATAATGATTCATTGTATTTAGAAAAAGAAATATGTTTTGTTCTTAGGAATGTTTTCCTGTTTACTCTTCTTATATAGAGGTAGGAATTAGTAAAAAATGTCCTTGGAGCCATGAATTAACGATGAGTTGCTTTATTGTAGGATGAAACAGAATACCAAAGGAAGGTAGCAGAAGAGAGAAGGAAAAATAAGAAAAGATTGAGAGAAAAAAGAAGGAGAGAGGGACAGAAAAAAGAAGGTACTGAGTTTTGAATTTACACTGCTAAAAAAAGCATATTTCTTGAATAACTGAAATGTAAACACAGGCAAATTTTAAGAAACTTTTTTCATAAAATTTCATTTCTATATAACATGCTGAGTGAGGTTAAATTGATTTCAGACACTGAAAACATGATGAAGGAGTACCTGGCTGTACAGGAGGAGTTGGACAGTGTGTTAGATGCCCCACCTCCTGAGGGGGAGGTGCCAGAGGTCTTCAGAACCTCATCTAAAGGGTAACTACACTGTACAATGTACACATTGAAGTAAATGTGTTCACTGTTCAAATTGTGGTAACTATATACACTGTATAGATTTTGGTTACTACATTGGGGAAACTTATGTTCACTGTTCAAATTTTAGTAACTATGTACAGTAAAACTCATTAACTGGTAAGAAGAACACAGATTTCCTGAATTACCAGAAGTAACAAAGTTTATTTGTATTCCCAGTTAAATTCTTAACAGATCCTTGCAAAATTTTAATTTTACAAAGAATTCTGATAAAATTATATGATTAATATATGAATTGTATTATATGATTTTATAGATATAGTAAACTGATTGTGCATCAAGTAGAGGTTAAAAAACAATAATTTACATCTTCAAAAATCTCACAAAATTTTGATTCCAATGTCACAAGAAAAATATTTTAATTTTTTTCTGTTTAGTTCCAAGAAGAGAAGAAGGAGAAAGGGAGAAGGGGAAAAGGTATAACATCTTCATGATCTCTGGTTCAGTTTGGAAAAAAAAAACTTATTATATTAATCAAAAAAAAAAAAAAAAGACTTTTGACTTTATTCCATTTCATATTATATGTAAATAATGTATTTTACAGAATGAAGGTTTTGAAGCTGAGAACCTCTCAGATGCTAAAAAGAGGATGCACAAACTGTTGGATGATGCATTTTCTCTTATTTCTCCTCAACTGGATGAGTAAGTAGTTAGGAATTACTTGTTGTTGTTTTCTATAGGGATGAATAATACATATTAAAAAAGAATGGAAATCTCTTGATAAAATTGTGGTGTATTGTGTCCCTATATCTGAGTTTGTGATTTGAAATTCTGACTAGCTTTTGATTTTGGAAAAAAAAACTATCTGATGTATCCACTATAAAAAGGATTTGCAAGTGGATGATTTCTACAATGAAGAAAATTCATCTTAAAAATGATTTGCATGGTTTGATATTTTTTTAGTACCTACCAATATTTTCTTCATTTCATTTAGATCATCTTCAGAAAATTCTGAAGAAAAATTAAGTTTGCCTGGTGATAGAAGAGTTTTGTCACCCAAACAAAGTACTATATCTCAAAGCGAGGGCCCCTCCCCTTCTACTAGCCCTAGGAGTAAATCCCCTGTATCTCTATTCAAAGACAGGTATCTTGATGTAGTGAATGCATGCACAGCTGTATAAATCACATGTACATGCATATCCCTCAGTACCCTTATTTATGATAGGAAAAAAGAATGTCTACTATTTTTTTTTCTTAAAAAAAAAAAAATTAAGTCACGTAGCATGAATTTTTACAAAAAATTGACATTATAGCAGTATGATCTGGCACTTAAGCCATATTCTGCTTTATATATTGGTAAAAGATTGGATATTCTCTAATTTGGCTCTTTGCACATTATATCACATGTGCATGTGTTTCCATAATGTAAATACAGTGGAGCCTCATTTATCCGGATGCTTTGGTTCCTAGTAAATTTGTCCGGATATGTGAAGCGTCTGAATATCTAAATAACCAATTAAACAAGACAAAATAACATAAAAAAATTCCATTCCCATGAAAAGTCGTCTGGATACTGAAGCATCTGGATATCTTGCGTCCAGATATCTGAAGGTCCACTGTACAGATGGATTATTGTATTTAATTAATTGCATGTATGAATATTGTAAAATTCAGTGTTGTTTCACCCCCACCCCCACCCCCCTGAAATTGTAAACATGTACCTGCTCTAGCTGCTACTGTATATAAAGAATTTGCATAACATTTATCCAGACTCCAAAAGTTAAGACTTCAAAAATCCAGCTTGCATGTTCCTTAATTGCACCATAAAAAGGTTATTCATTTTAAATTTTTGTACACTGAAAATCCAGTTTAAAAGAAAGAAAAAAAAACTTTTGTCATAAAACACTTAATATTCAAAGATATATTATCATAAATGTGCAAGTTAATTTCCTGCATTCTTACGTCATGAACTGTTCTTCTGAGCAGAAATAAGGTTTTTCCAGAGGAGGAGACAACTTCACTCAATGGGTAACTATCTATAAACTGAGTGTGCTGAGTATATGGATTGTAGAACTAAACATTTATAAGTATGTAAAATTGTTGTCATGTTTTTCATAGTTTCTCCATTTTTTCTTTCAGAAAAAACCAAGAGGAGGAGAAGCCAGGTATGAAAATTGATGGGAAAAAAATGTCTTTCTTAAAAAATATTCCTAATTTTTGATTTACTCCATCCTTTAATTAGCTCTGAATGATGTACATGTTGTTGTAGAGAAGAAGCATGAACCTATGATAGTAAATCCCAGTTACCATGGTTCCCGGCGGGAGGGGCTAACTACCTGGAGTCCGTACAGGGCAGCGGATGAGGTGACCTTGATCTCCATGCCAAAAACTGTGGTATGTCATTATCGGTGTCACAATGGATGTTAAAACAACTAAAGAGAAAGTATTCAGTATTAAAGAAAGTAAAAAATGTTAATAGAAGAATTTACATTCAAAAATTTTTTATCTTGAACTCAATGGGACTGAGAAAAAACTTGTCCCAAACACCTATTCTTTATGTATTCAGCATCTTAAGGTAGGTCGCGGGTTTACTGCTTAAAAATTCTTACAAGAAAACATATCCTGTTAATTTGATATAATGTTCCTTGGAATTCACAGCATATTATCTGCAATTTTTATTAAATTTGTCTACGTAGTTTTATGCTATATTGCTGTAAACGCGGTATTGTTGTTAGACCTTTTTTTACGCCTTACTACTGAAATGTATGGAAAAAATGACGTTTTAAGCCAATTTTGTGAAAATAGTTTCTTTTAAAAAGGTTGGATAACTTTTTAAAGGCGTAGACGAATTAGTCAGGAATTTCAGTATGTCAAGATGAGGTAAAATCAAAACTATTGATATAAAAAAATCAATATGTCTTCTCGCTAGATTTTTTGCTTAATAATTTCAAAGTTTTCTTTTATACTGCTAGAATATTGCGTTTATGGCGTTATTTATATCTACAACGTCATTTGTTGAACGTTGTCACATTTACAGTACAAGTATAAATATCTTGACCTTTGGAATACGTAAGATTTAAAAAGTGGCATAGATACAAAATTTAATTTTATTTATCATTTAATTTATTGCGGAGAAGTATTAGGATGACCAGCAACTTGTTTTCACTGGTATTGTGAAATTCATACTCTGATCACAGAGTCAGAATGGACGGTATAAACATTCCTCGTACATGAGAATTAACGTACAGCGACAACAACGCGAGTGATAAAATATTAGTACCTGTAGTTTTAGGAACCTCATGGTCAATAAGATTTCAGGCATAACACAAAAATTTGATCACTTTTTTCGAAATCGGTATGAAAAAAATCCGGATACTGAGGAAATAAACGGGGGGGGGGGGGGGGGATGCAAGGTTCTTTCTATGTTAGTCACAAGCTATAGTATACGACCCTAACTCTCAAGCATTTGTTAATTTTGAATTCTCTGAATCAAATTTCAATATGCAAATGGAAAATACTTGCATTTAGCTTTTACACTTTGAGCTTTTTGTTATATAAAAAAATATATAGAAAAAATTATAATTGTAAATTGTTTACGATGATAATTTAAAAAAACCTTGAAAAATTGAATTTAACCCATTTTTTAGTGATGAGGATTGATTCCATTTGGAAAAGTTTCGGCAACTTTTCGCCTCGGCTTTGATTGGCAGTCATGATGCAATACGCATGTTCACCTGAGTTTCAAATAACGTGCGCACAAACAACCCCCCAAGTTTTACACTAAGCAATTTTTATTTATGATAACTTTTTTACTGCATACCATAACTTTTACGCTGATTTATTCTGATTGAATTTTACCAGTTAAGTTATACTTACAATATAAATTATTCCTTTCATTTGGTTTTGTATCTAATTAGTCCTAAGATATTACATATAATCGCATCAGAATTCAGACCAAGTTTAATTATAAAACATGTACATGTACGAGGTTTACGTACAATAGCATGCACTTTGTATTTTTTGTATTAATCTACTTGAATCTACTTGATTCGTACAAACTTAAAGTCATTTGCAGAGAATTAAACAGGAATTAAACAACGTAACGTTGCCTTTGTGACGTAATTGACGTCATAATCAAATGTGCACAAAACAACCGCTCAAAATTGAATCGTCAAAATTGTGTACCAAAATTGATGACAAAAGCAAACTCGCGACCTACCTTAAATTCTTGAAGGTATTTTCTTGGCCCTATTGAGTTTGAGATAAAAAAATAAGTTTGACTGTAATCAGCGAGTTAATCTTTTAGTGAGAGCTCTTTTTGGAAGTGTTTGTATATTACTCAGCTCAGTAAAACTCAGTGAAGTTGAGAATATCTATATACCCTGTATTTCCATTATTTGATTTACAAATCAGTCTGATAATATTAAGATGTCTTTTACTGCAATATACAGTTGGTAAAACCCATGAGGAGGGGTTCAACAAAGGAAGTGAGTCTTGTATCCCATTCAGAATCACAAAGTTCAGAATTCTTGTTCCTCACAATGAAAGTTCCACAGTTCCATTTTTATTTCATTTTAGTTTATGAATTTTGTTATTAGTTTTCCAAGATGGCCAATGGATCTGGTTTATGGACCTAGTCCAATTCACTTTTATTTGCATGCATTTCATTTTCAATGTATCATTTTTTTTTCCCACTTGGAACCAAAAAAGTCAAAACAGTCACAATTTAGGTTTAATTTGTTTGTATACATGTTATTTAAAAAAATGCAAATGTTAACTGAATTTCATGAAACATATTTTAGAACATACATGTATATTAATTTTATATTCCGCAAAAAAGACGAAGATGTAGCTGCAGAACTGAAGCTCCCTAGTTGAAAAAATTCAGACAGACAAACCACAGAGCTATAAACCTATTTTTGATGATGCCTTTTTTTTGTCGCTCATTTCTAGTATTATTCCTTGTACAACTGGTATAATCACACCTTCCACTGTTTAAAGTATGGTATATATTATTTAAACACATGTTTTACTCCTATTCCTAATATTTTATTTACCAGTACCTTTAGGACGCCTAATTTTAGATTTCATGCAAATTTTTAAAGTTGATATTTGAATTATATAAAGCCTGTTTGTATTAGGCCAAAAAAAATTAATGAATACATATAGTTTCTCATGCATCCATCTGACATTTAAAGTCAATTTTCCTTTTTTGGTATATATTCACCTTTTCATAAATGCTAAAATAGACGTTTCTATTAGAAAAGCAATATATTTCTTCTAAATTTACAGTATTTATTAATAAACTTTTAAATAAATGTTTGGAATAAGTGATATTTAGAGAACAGTTAACGGGTAATAACATCATTTGAAGCTGAATACATATTATAACTAATTTCAGAGAACAAAAAATTAAGAATTAGTAGAAATTATCATTTTATTGAACAAATGGCTTATATAAACCTGCCTGCTGCATCGAATTTTGAATTTTTTGGCCTGAGAAACTACTTATTAATTTTTTTTGGCCTTAACCATTGAATTGTAGGATATTAGCAATTACAGTTAAAAATATCATCCTTTAACAGGGTGACCACATATAATACAAATAATACCTGAAGCAAGCAGCAAAAAAGGGTCACCGTAAACCAAAAGTTTTTACAATGCTTGAATCCTGGGCTCTCTGGTTTTTGTCTAAATTTCTAAATTTTCTTAACCCAAGAGCAACAGTTCTGCAGCTAATGAAGATGATGATTGATGAAGACTCATAAAAAAATAAATTTTTCTGCTAATTTTACAGGTTCCTGAGGACGAGATTGAGAGGAAGGGTCATCACTCAAAGCGACCCGCTGTAAATCTCCCAGAACCTGTGCCAAATACCTCCTACACTACAGAGCCCCCCAAACCAATCATTCTGAGGACTCTCGGCAAACCCTCATCAAAACAGCATAATGGTTTGGGTTCTACTGAAGAACCGGCCACAGATAAACTGAAATCCAGTTATGCTAGTCAAAGTGGGTCGGGTCGGGTCAAGTCTGCCAATGGCGACCTGACCCGTAAACCACCAATCCAGCATCAAAAACCCTTTAAACACACCCCAGAAGGGGAAGATATGACTGATGTTGTATCAAAAGAAATTCATCCTGGGGAAACCCCAGAAAATACAATTACCGCTGTGAGGAATGAACTCCAGAATATTGTTCACCCTACTGTTGTGACTGTGAAATCAGGTGGATGGACTGGAAATTCCTCAGGGGGAATGGCAGATATAGCATGATAGGTGGTTTTAGCGAGTCTCATGGGAGTTTGCCAAGTATTCAGTATAGAAAGAAATATTGATGTTTTTGTCCCCCAGTTACCGATCAAAGGGACATAACTGTGATTTGTCATCAAATTGGAGGCATCCTTAGATTTTTATACTTGATAAGTAAATAAATGTGATAAGATGTCCAATGTATTTGGTTGGGATAGAAATATTTTTATTGAAGGTTTACTCTTGAAGTATTTTAGATACCAAGAGGAACTGCTGGTGAATTATAAGATAGGGCTATAAATATTTTTGCAAGTTTCTTTTTGAAAAATCGTGCATTTATATTTTTACAAAAATTTGCATAGTTGAGCAATATATACTTGTGTATTTGATCTACTTAAGAACTCATTTTTAGATCTGTTGAATGGGTCCCTCATTATATTTTGATAATTATAACAAAACTGCATTTATTTAGTTTATTTTGATGGTTATGGTAGGTTTATACATTTTATTTGGTTGTAGTTTAATTAAAAATTCATCATATACTTGTAGACTGATATTAATGTTTATTTTTAATCAATTTAGTTAATTATATGTGTTCTTATACAAAACAATGAACAATTCTCTGGAATTAGTTAAGCATGTCACAAGTCGTGGTATTTAAGCCTACAAGTACACTGTACTTTTACATTTTTCAAATGTTAATTTTCACATCTTTTCTTTGTTTATACTGAAAGATTGGATGTACAGTTATTCCCATTTTGAAATGTGATTTCTTTCTATTCTATGATTTATGAAAGATCTCCATTTTGAAGTACAGTGTAATGTTTTGCAAGAGTGTTTTTTTATTGTTTAAAGCATTCCACAAATCTTGTTTTTTTTTTAAATAAAATTTATGTTTCCCTAGATAATAATCTCTCAGTAAAAACTCAAAAGTTGAAAAGTCTAATATATATTCATTGTCATCTGTATTATTGTTAGCATTGGAGACCTACGTTGCTCTTGCTTTTCTTTCCTCAAGAGGTACAAGTAATAGAAGCAAGAATGACTGTGGTCAACTGAAAGATTGGTCTGTTATAAAACAGATTCTTATTATTCTTCAAGAACTGAAATTCTTTTTTTTTTTGTTAGACATTCCCCATTCTTACAAAAGGCAGTATCCACATTCCTCTTCCAACTATTATTCTTGTTCCCGGTAAATGGGTTGTGACTTATAGTGCTGAGCTTATGTGATATTTATATATGTTTTGTCATTGCACTTGAACAAATGTTTTCTACTTAATAAATGATCTGTTATTTATGATCTTAATAAATTATTGACCATTGTGCTCTAGACTTTGTGTCAGTTTTTGGTTTGCCTTATTTTTCTAGCACCAAGTAAGTCATGATGATAAACCAAAAATTTTGGAAAACATCATCTTCAAGTCCCTTAAGGATGGAGGAATGTAATAGTTTGGGCCATGGATATCTGTTGGAATAGGTTCAATTCCTTGATCAGTCCTAAATTTTCTCCTTTCCTGTTGATTTAATTATTCCAGATATCTGAATACATTTACTGCAACTAACCCAACAAGTCACCAATCAAATCAAATGTGGCAAAAGTTCTAAGAATTAAATCAATAAAATATATAGTAAAACATGCATATAACGAAGTTCCACTGACAGATGAATTTGCTTTGTTATAAGCACTATTCTTTATATCTGCAATATGATTATAATGTATATCAGTCTTTAGGAATGAAAATCACTTTACCACAAGCATCAGTTCATTATTCATGTGTTTGCTAAGGGGTGTTAAGAAAGTTCGTTCCATGATGAAATATTTTCAAAAATTTCAAAGTACAGTGGAGCCTAGCTCATTTATCCGGACGCTTTGGTTCCTAGTCAATTTGTCCGGATATGTGAAGCGTCCGGATACCTGAATCACCAGTTAAACAGAACAAAATAACATTTTAAAATTCTGTCCTTATGAAAAATTGTCCGGATACTGAAGCATCCGGATAACTGAAGGTGCACTGTAGTGCTTAACTTAAAAGATTAATTTTCAAGTCTGACAAAATCACAATTCATTTCTAGCAGAAAATTATAGGATTTTTCTTCTATATGAAAAAATATATATATAACAGTAAAATAGAAATGCTGGTCATTTTATAATAAAGGATAATTTACCTTTGTTTCTTCATAGCTTATCTTGCATCAGACAAGCTGATGAGTGAATGTTTGCAGTTTTCAAATTAGGTTTGTCATTTGAAAACAGATTTGATAATTTTTGCATAGTATTTGGAAGGATGTTTTGACCTGTGTGCCTAATATATGTCACAATTTTGCGTCACCCCTGATTTTTCTGAACAGATATCCATTTCAATACCAGCTCTCCCCTTATTGATTCTACAAAAGACAGTTACAACCTTATCAGTAGCAAAAATGGACTCTTTCAACATGAAATATCACAAACTGTAAATATCTTTCACTATTCGAAAATAAAAGAAAAATGTGTTTGCTATAAGCATGTTTTACTGTATATGGACCACAGACATTTGACAAGACATTTCTTCTCACATACTGAATTTTATTTCAAGATCTTATATTTGGTACTTAGTACTACTACAATTTTTAAAGTTTATAATGTAAGAAGTGTCTATATATCAAATGACTTTGAAGATTTCACCAAAGAAACAAAAACTGTTTAGTTTTTTATCAATCATTTATACCTTAAATTTTCATACAATTACATTTATAAACAATACATTCACTTAAATATAACTTTACATTTTAAAAACAAAAATGGATGGACTTTAAACAAGGCACATTCAAAACTTAAGTGATCAGCATTTTGGACAGACATTTAGAATAGAATAAAGTTGCTGAATATAACCTTAAAATCCTATATATCCTTAAAATACAAAATACACTGTTTTCCTAAACAATAAAATACTCTGTTAAAATCAGCATACGCTATTCCCAACAAATCTTGGCACATACTGTAGAATAAAATCGGAGACATTTTTGTCCCGCAAACATGTGCAGGAATTAAATATAACCCTGTTTTAGTAAAACAGTACTGTAATTGTATCCTACATGTATATAATATGATGTACATGTATATATGGAACTTAAAAAAATAATCTAAAAAATATGCTATTTCCATCTGATGTACATCTTGCTTGTAAAAATGTACTTGCATGAACATATTCCATGTTTTGACTTTACATGTATCTATCTGCTGATACATGTATTTGTAATATCTAAAATCTACACACAGTTAAACTCCAATTTAACTCTCAATCTCAATAAATATATCTACACAATTTGGCACAGTAGAAATGAATCTCTCTTAAAAGTTTGACAAACGCATTCATACATATGTCTATATACAAACTCTTGTTTTAAATGGATCAGCAATGCATACTTCAAGAGGTAGGTCTGAATATATATATATTATTAGCATGGTGTTATATATGGTTCAATCTATACATCTGCATCTCCTGTGCAACATTTTTAATGAATTAATAAATCTTGCACAGAAGAAACCTGAATGGAACGATATTCATATAGCACTTAAAGAAATCCTAATATTTGAGTAACTGCATAGCTTTAGTCCAGAAATGTCCTTGATTCAGCACACATACTCCTCATTTCCGTACGGAGCTGTTTCTGTAGAAGGGGGCCCGGATGGTCCGAGAAAGGGGAAGGAACTGCCCCCCATAAGTCTTCTCCTCTTGATGGTCTTGTGTTATCATTAGTTGTATTTTTGTCGGCACAGCCTCTGCAAGCATCAAGCAAATTCCTCAATGGCTATTTATAAGACAAATTCTGTGAAAATACTGTAAACCAACTTTTATTCGTGTGCGAGAAATTTTCGCGAAGTTCGCGAGAGCCTCGTCATCGCGAATATTTCTCGCCGCGAACCGGTCCTTAAAGTGTATTTGTCTATAAACAACAGATCCAAAAAGGCTTGATCACGAAAATTAATCGTCGCTAACTAGTTTATTCTTGGTAAAACGCGAAATAAAGTTGTTGCGAATAAAAGTTGGTTTACAGTACCACACATTTATCATATGTTATAATGGCTTCAGAAAACCTGTTTGCAAGCCTGTTGGTTTCAATTTGCATCAGAAATGACAATTTAAATTGAAAATTTAGTAGAATTTTTTTTTAAATGAATGATTTCAATGTGAAATGAAGCAAATAAACAAGCGTTAATAGATATACTGAAAATAGCCTAATATGTTCAAATCTAAATACTTTGCAAATCATTAACAAGAAGACAAACATCTGCAAATGATCAAGGATCATAGCATTTGAACAATATTGCTTTCAAACAACTATGGAAACGTTGGCACGGCACGAACAATTCTGGTCCTATTATTATGATAAACCTAATCACTGGCACAGCACAAGATCTCACCCGACAGTTTCCGTTTAAACACCAGTTTGGGAAGAACTATTGACTCTGTGTAAACCACAAGATAAAATGTATTGAACAGAGGAAAATTGTTTCCCGCATTCATTAAAGAACTCATGGGATAATTATTTTAAACAATTGTCAAGTTCTCTATAACACTCTAGCTCGAATTAAAGCAAAAAACTTTCTTCTGGAGATAAATTATAGTTATTAATAAAAATTAAAATAAGTAAAAATTAAATGTTATGTTGATTAACTAGCAACTACAGAAATAATTTGTCTTAAAATGAGAAAAAATCCAAAAAAGCAATAAATAATTACATTAAAAGCATGCACAACTGGAGGCTTTTAAAAATCGGTTAGAATGCACTTTTTAAATTGAATAAGTTTTAAGATAAAATTAGAACTTCAAAATAGGATTGAAACACCCAAATGTCTGATGGGCAATCAAATCATGGTGCATTGCAAACAATGTACAAACACATCTGCAGATGCACGGTCAGTTCATAAATTTTAGCCAGTTTTCCACAAGTTATCAGCTGTGAGTAAGCTAAAACCTTTCTTGCAGGCCAATATTGCAGCATCCAATGCAATCATGCTCCAGGGAAAACATTAAGAATTGAACTTTTACTTTTGATAAGCAAAAAATATGTGAAAGCATATATACTTTAAAGTCATTCAAGCACATCTGATATATCCTTTGGATCTTGCATCAATTCAAACCATGTCTGCAAGTTTGGTTTGTAAATGATAAACTAAACACAGGCCTTACTGAATATAATCAGACATAACTATAATAAGCTGCATATCTTGAATGGCAACCTTGCCTGGGGCATAAAATATAAGTTTGATATTTTAACAAAATATATGTTCAATGCAGCATGCAATGTTGCAAGTTTGGTTTGAATACTACTTATATTAATTCAGGAGCTGACTTAATTGTTACAAGTCACTGAAGCATGAAATACAGGTCAGTTGCAGCATCCACAGCATGCACTAAAGTGAGAATTTATAGATGTATCATGATACTAGAGATATGCTGGAACAAGGTCTCAATGCTGTGTTTAACAAAGATAGATCAACAGACAGACAGATGGACACATTGAATTCCAGTGCACTCCCTGAAAATTTTGTTGAAGGGGTGTAAATAAATATATTCCAAAGTCAAGCAAATATTAATCATATAAGCATTAACTTTGCTGGCGTGACATAAAATCGAAAGAAAACATCACAAAGTCAAGTCATCTCATTGGAATATTTAACAACTCTGTATAGGAAAGGATGGCGGTGAAACAATAGGGTATTGTGTCACAGTATAAAACATAAATAGTTACATTAATTTAACAACATAGCATGCATACTATTGGGTATAAGTCTATTATTATATAGTTTAATTACTTCTACATAAACTATTTACTAAAGTACTTGTAATACAGGAAAATTACTTTATATTAAAATTCTAAAAATAGTTTATGGGAGAATAAAAAGAAATTAATCAAACTGAAAATATCTACAACTACTTTTCTATATCTACTATGGCTAATAAGTTAGTGATCTATGAAGAATATTATAGCAGAGAAGTTAGAAGTGAGAACGGCAAACTATACCTGTTAGTGAGGTCGGCGTGACGGTCTGCTTACCTACTGAATGGCGACCCGATTTGGCAGACTTCACTCGATTTTGGTGCTGCTAAAACGTGTCATTAGAAGCAAAAAGTTACCATAGGTATAGAACACTACATGAATACAAGATCCCCAAACCCTAGCAAACAAAGGTAGATCACCCTTAACCATTCAAACTTGAAGCTTATCATGCTATTTGATTAAGATTTGTCAATTTGCAAAAATGCATCTTACTTTTATAAAGAAATTGCTTAAAGGAAATTCATTAATATATCTTTGTGTTAATATATGAAATAACCCCCAGAAACAATAGTAGTTATATACTAATGATTCAAAATAAGGAATAGTACATGCAGCTACTTGTAAAAAAAATAGATAATACGCAAAGACAGTATAAAGGGATTCCATGATATGAAAAACCCATCAGCCATAAAAGGCTGGGTTTAGATTAATAAAAGCTTATGTACCAAAGCAGACTTGAGAGATGTTTAATGCTTTGAGATTTAAGGAATCTTCCATTTAATATTTATTACCGTAATTTTCAACTGGTCCAAATACTACATCAAAACAAAATAATATAGCTGGTTAAGCACCGATTTCTTCCCCCCAAATGTCACTGATTATGGAAACACTTGACATAGAAGAATTAGTACTTGTTATGCATGCTCTGAACCATATATACATAGTAGTGCCATTTAATACATGCATATTCAACAATGTTATAGTATACAAGTACATTCTGAAATTGCAAGATTATTCATTAGAGAACATGTTACTATAAATAGTTGCATTAGTCATACCAGCGCAGACTAACATGTAATAAGGTTATCTTCCAGGGCCATTAAATCTTACCTTTCCAGGAAAACGATTTTTGGTAGAAAGGTTCATTCCAGTAATTTCAAACTATGAAACGGCAGCAAAGTGTGAAAATTAAGATTTTTTAGTTAATTGATTTCCTAACAATTAAAAAGTTCTTTTTCATCTTTTTGTTTATTCATTCAAGTGTTTCCATTTCAGCAGAATGAAATTTTTTGACATCATGCAAAGCAAATGCATACTTACATACAATAAGAATGATAAACTTTGAATCCATATTTATCAAGCTAATATATTTATGATTTTTTCAAGGATTGACCAATGAAATATGCATTTGCTTGTTGTGCCTGAACAAAAGCAAGGAATATTCTGGCAAGCACACACATGCAGAGACACACCTCGAAGTATTTTTCTGTTTTGTCATTGGACTTGCGGTCCTCTTTACCCGTGACCAAATTGGTAATTCCATCTCGAAGATCCTTAGCACTTTTCGATTTGTTGTTATAAATAGCATATCCATTGGCATCGGCTACCCTGACGGGGTGCAAGTTGTCAGTTTCGGGGTACAGCTCTACCCTGGGGAAGAACCTCTCTACCTTTGATGAGGTCTGGGTGGCAGTGGTGGTGGTGTTTGGTATATAGCTATTTCTATGCGAGCTAGACCCTGCATTGCCGTTATACACTATATCGTTAGCACTACTAGCGGGGATGGTGTAAGCAGTTTCTGAGGTGGATTTTCGCACATTGGTGACGTATGTATTGCTGTAGTTGACCGTCGTGGTGTCACCTGTGATCATGAGATTGGGATCTCTCCATTTTTGAGTTCTGTCGTACGTCCGATCACTGACCGGATAATTGGTCACACTCCTGGATTTGAATCTAGCATTAAACGGTCTCTTGTCATCGAATGAATTGCCCGGAGGTTCTCGGGTTAACACAGTCTTGCTCTTGCTACCAATAGACATAGCTTGGCTGTTGTAGTTTCGATTTTCATTGTTTAGTTTGTAATCGTCAAGGGATTGAAACTTCCTAGGAGTTTCTTTTGTTTTCTGTTTATCCTTTGACAACCTACGTTCTTGCTGTAACAAAATACCAAGAGCCATGGACAGAATGTTAATATTGAAATACCTGGAAACATCACCTTAGCCCTGAGAATTTATTTTTGAAAAGGAAATTTTTTCAGAATATTAATGAGACTAATTCACTTTATTAATTAGTATTTACAGTATGTTCTATAAGAAAAGTAATGAAAGTACTGTAGAGTAATATTTAAAGAGCACACTTTAATGTTAATGTTCCTATTAATTTTTCATGTTCATATACTTTTAAAAATCTTGACAAATTTTGTTCACATCTGATTCAAACATTTAAAAAAAATCTTCCATGAATATTATTTATTGCAAATGGAATTTTGATTTCTATCCCCCTGTAGTTTGCTTGTTCCACCATATTTCAAGAAGGAAGGAATAAATACAAGAATGATTGCTCTATATACATGCTGTTATATACTGTATCTAGCAAAAAGTGACCAGTCATTGTGTGTTATGACAAAATACAAATTTTTGTAGATCATTCAATTTTGATAACTAAAGCAATAAAATTTAAATTTCAAATTAGCAACAGCATCATTGAATAAAATATTTTATCACTAAATCTTGCCCCCATTAATTCTGTCTACACAAAATGACTAGTTGGCTATAAAAGTCAGCAGGTCAAAGCTTTCAACATAGACATGCCAGTAAAACAGTTGTATATCAGAGAGGTAACATGCATCAGCTGCTGTAGCAGGCCCTTACCTCAATGTCATGTCGGATTTCATTGGTCAGTTCCTCTATCTCCTCGCCAGTCTCCCGCATTAGTCTTTTTATATAACCACTGAAATTTTTATCAAAAAACTTGATATTTTTTTAATCTCTCTCTCCCTGCCCCCACATAAAAAAAAAGCAAAGAGAAATTTTAAATTTGTGTTAAACTCTTTTCTTTTTTTTAAGAGACCCCCCTCCCTCTACCCTATGAGGTTGTAATCTATGAAGACATTTTATTGCAGGTTAATTTTTATCTACAAATATCTATCCCAATTGCTACAACTGATTGGAATGTTTTTATTACAGGTTTTTTTTTTAATCTTTTCGTCTCTAAAATACAATAACTACAACTGTGGGAAATTAGGCTACATGTATATACAGTTAAACAATGGAATCTTAAACACTGATATTCTGAATATCATAAATATAGAAGTCTTATTTGAAATTCTTAACCACTTATTCTTTCAGTAGTTTAACTTTGATATCTCAGATTCCCTGATAATTTAATTGTTTCCTTGGTGCCATTGAGATAACAAGGTTTGACTGCATATATATATATTTTAAAAGACAATTAATATTGAACTTCATTATGGCTTTGTAGGTTAGTTTCAAAATAAGGTGATCTAAGCAAGCGACAATTTTACCTTTATCCCTCTACTACCCTTTCCTCCACCCCCACCCCCTTTAAAAGAAATTGACTATTACACTTTGATTAAAATAACACCTACCCTGTAGTTGGACTTAGATGGTTCTGCTGCATGGCATTGTTAGCCAGAGATTGACGTAATTCCTTAATGCTCTCCACCATACTGTCTATGTCCTTGCCCCCCTTGGCCGATTTGACCCGGGGTCCCCCGTGATGGTGAGGGTCCTGTAGGTAGTCTGGTCCCTCCTTTGTTTGAGATGCATCATCGTCCGACTCTCTCATCCCTATACAAGTACATTTTACATATTAATTGATGAACTCAATTTTGTGGACTTTCTTGGTCAGTATTTTCTAATCAATCTAGTTATATGGTGCAAATTGTGACAAGTTAAAATATCTTCAGCAATTTAATTTCTTTTTTGAGAGGGGGGATAATTCTCAATTTGAGTTATTTTGCATGGTGTTGTTGTTTATTGAAAATACAAACACTTTAATTATGGGCAGGTGATCAGTGAATAAATCTTTAAACTTCAAATTAATAGTGGTGCTCTTGTATAGTGTAGAGTATTAACAAAAGTGATTCATCTAAGAGACAAATTCAAATCTAGACAGACAAAGAAACTACAATTTAATCCCTGAATTGAATTACAAAGGAAAATTTTACAAAAATAATTTGTAGAATAAGAGTAAGTACTGAATCTTGGCCTATATATGTTTAAATTTTCTCAAAAAAGTTAATATGTAGGTGCCACTGGTATTTTGTTCTATATATCAAAAAAAAAAAAAAAAGCTTGAGAAAGATAATTGATCTCAGAATCTTCAATTATTTTCGCTCAGAATTAATATGTAATTAACATAAATAAGGTACTTTCAACATCATACTTCAAAAAAGCAATATATAACCTGAAACAGAATATGTGAATAAAAAAAAAAACTCTGTGAAAGTTAACTGAAATAAAAACAAAACAATATTAAGTTAGAAAGCTAAAACAGTTAAAAAGTGAAAGTGAAACTTCAGCCGGAAATGCAGGGACCCAATTCATGAAGGCATCAATACCAGTATACGAGGAGTAGTCTTGAAAAGATTTCCGCAACTCAGTTCTAAACTGAGGAAAACAATTACGCTGGAAAGTACTGCGATCTTGTATTGAGCCTCTACGCAAAATGAGCCTGCCGAGATTTTTAATTTCCCTGCCTGGATTTTTTAATTCCCTCGTCGTAAGAAATGGAACTTGATTTTCATGTGGTATCACAACGGAGAATTTTCTTTCCAGGGCTAAATCTATGGGATTAATGGAATCTTGCACACATGTGGCTACATAAGTTGGAGCCTTCTTGTCTTGTGAAAACTGGTACAAAATGTTGGTTTCCTCAACTGTTCAATAAAAAAATCAGACAATCCCAACAGCTAAAATAAAATTGCTTACCACATTAAATGCTGATATACATGTACAAACAATGCACACATGCAAGTTATATTCCATCACCAAAGACATATTATCAGTGAATATACCATCACCAAGAAGCTATTATTTATCTACACTGCATTTGAACTGCATATGGCCACATACAGTAACACTCGTTTAGTACGAACACGGATATTGCGAATTTACGGATATAGCGAAGTCATCTTGGATCCCCAGCTTTATAAATTCAATGGATTCTTTATACGGTTATAACAAATAATCGGATATAGCGAAGCAATTTCATAGGTCCCCGTGACTTCATTATAACCGAGTTTTACTGTATTATGTACGGTAATAGTTTAGACATTCTACCTAATATTTTAAAGGATCAATTTTTTACCATGTCATTAATAGTTCCTTTAGTTCATTAACATTGTGCCATAGAATTTTTCCCATTAAAATTCTTGGTCTTATCCCCCAATCCCTACTTCTATTTTAGTAAAAGTTTTAACATGCAAACAAAACATCAATAATGCTAGTCTATGCATATAAAGATAAGCTGATTGCAATGTTTACCCATTCTGCTCTTTCTTCCTCCTTTTTCTTTATGTTTCCCTTTGTGACCATGTTTTCTGTGTTCTAGACAGTGGAGAAAGAGATTCTGTTTGTTAGGGGACAATGGAGCTTGACAATGTTAACAAAAGAAGTAGTAAATGGTTTTGCAAAGAAGAAAAGGGTGTCAAGTTAAAATTTTTGATTTTAATTTAGTTCAGTTAAAAGATATCAATATATATAATACCACAGATATCCAAAAGATTTAAAGATAAAGAAATGGTTTTGCAGAAGAAAAAGTGTGTCAAGATTATTTTGAAATTGGTTCAGTTAAAAGTTGAATTACAGTACAAATAAAGGCAAAATGAAAGAGTACTGAATGGACAACAAGTAGATTTTATAAGATTCTAGAAGTTTCCAGAAAGTTTTGAATTTAAGGACAACTCACCCTCTTCCTCCTCTGGCTCCTCCCTGGCAGTGATTTCTGAGGCGGTGTCCATATCTGGTGGTGGTGGTGGTTCTTCAGGCGGAGGCCGACTTTTAGCATCATCTTGGAGTTCATAATGGTTAAAAGAGGTTTCAGGCACATGTGCTCGAGGTCTGTTGTTCTTAGCTGAAACAGGACAGCCCAAAGTGAGTACATTGTTTTAAGCCTCTCTGTAAATCTATGCAGATAGCCAAATGCAATTTCAAAGTTTTAAGCAATATTATTCACTTAGTTTTTGAATCCTAATACCAAGTAATTTAATTTTTTCATCTTTAGACTGATCTACCATACAAATAAGGTTTTCAAATGCTTGCTTATAAATCAAATGTCTTGTAAAAATGAAATTTTTTCAATGATTTTTTTTCAACAATTTGACTGTAAAAACGTATACCAGTTGTTACTAAAACATCCAGCCATATAAATTCAACAAACAATTTTATTTTATTTATTTAAATGAATTATTGACAATAATTGTTATGATGTGCAGATATATTTTTGGAAGCTTTTGTGCAATGTTATAATTTTCATATCACATGCATTTCTCAAATGACAAGACCTTGTGCATGCACTTCTTCAATTTATCAAGCCTTTCTGAATTAAGATTTCAAGCAAAATACATGTATTATTGCAGATCATGCAATGATTGTGAAAAATCATATAAAATGTATTTCCTGAAGTAATAATTAGTAATATTCATGCTATTTTCTACAGAATGTCTACCACTTTATAAAACCATTATCTATTTATCATATTCTACAACAAAAGATCTACATTTTACAACTTAGAAAAAATGGAAGCAGTTGAAAGAAAATTTCTGCAGGATTTTGGAAAGAGGAATAACTACAGGAAACCCAAGGGAGACTACTCTGACTCTAAAGGGAAAAATCCAATTTTCCTCAAAGTAATTTTTTTTTTCGATACAAATACCATATCATTCCTTTGGCCATGAGTTACAACAAACATGCATAGACAATATTAGAACAATATCAAAATGAGAGATCATGCAAGTCACCCATTTCCAAGATTTAGAATTCCCTAAATTCTCCCCCATTATTACAGTTAAGAAATACAACAAAGATGTACAGGTATATAGAAATATACTTAACATTTCTAAAACCTGAATTTTTGAATATATCGTAAGTACCCATGCTACCCATGACCATGTGAAGAGTTACATTGTGAAATTTAAATATACAGATATACATGTACAACATTCAATCCACATGCAAATGTGACCTTTTCTCATAGGGCTCTCATTGGTTGGTTTTGTGGGAGGTCATTACCATGGTTACAGGAGGGAGGGGGTTAGTAAGGGGAGCTTACCATGACTATATTGTTCATCAAAAGGGTTAGGGTGTTGACGAATGGCATTACCTGATTTGTCTCCCTGTAAGAACAAACACATCATTAATATCAACATTAAAAACAAACATAACTGATGGAAAATATCCACACATTTACCATTTGAAAATTCAAACCTTTACAAAATGTGCAAATGGTGTGAGGTTGTAGTAGCATGCACTTGCAAAATCTTTAGTTTCATCATACATGTATTATTCAAATACATGTATTAAAATTTTAATGTGGAAAGGCAAAAATGTTACTGAAAATAAATCCATAGGATGATCTATAGATTTTGAGTTCAGTGCTGTGGCTATTGTGAATTAATCACTGATTATACGGGATGGGAGGGGGAGGGGGACTTAATAAATCTTGTTTGGGACAATCCTGTAAAGCAGCTAGAAAGGTGTTCTATAAATTCAAAACCTAAAGTATGTCACTGGCAGCTACTGCAATTGTGTCTACTAATGTCATTTTACATGGCTTACATATTCTCAGAAATTAGCATTTTAAAAGTTGAGATGATGAATTTTGGCTAGATAGTTAAATACAGTTACCTGAATAATGTTCTGTTATAAGTCAGTGTGGTTATCAAAGGTTATCATAAGCAGCTATAATTTGCATTGGTGTTGGTCAGTATAGTTTAAATGGATTCTAATGGATTCCTTGGCAGTTTTTAATATTCTATTTTAGGCATATTAAAGATAGAGTCAGTGTGGTTATCAAAAGTCATTAAAATTAAGCAACTATCATTAGCACTGATTTATTTTTTGTCTGTATAGTCTAAATCTAAAGGAAAAGCCCATTTTAGCCTGTAATACAACACACAGAGTTAGGATCTTGGGCATGCCTCCTATACCTGCAGGACAAAGGATTGGGCGAGGGAGTCCTGGAGGAGAACCAGATTGGGGATGATCTGGTCTCGGCTGATGGCCAGTTTGTGACGATAGCACAACCGGCCCACTACTGGACAGTCAGGCTACAACAAGGAACCGTCAACATCAGACACCATACATAAATCAACGACGAGCAACGACGCAATGTTCTGGCTTTTGTATAAATGTCTGTCTTGTTTGAGTATTGGAGTATATATACATAAAATGTAAGTATATTCTTTGAATGACAAACACCCTCCACCTCTTTGATTATATATAAAATAGCATCAACACGAATACTGATAAATATGTCACACTCTTTCACAAATAAACTAATGCAACAAACAGTGAAACAAACAGTGAACACATTCAGATGAAAAAGACTGAGCTTCAGAATATGAATCAATTTCAATTTTTAAAACATAACTTTCAAAGTTATTTTATTTGATTAGATCAAAAGCATCCATGATCTTAATTATCATAATTTTCTGATTTCAAACGTAATATTTAGCAGATATGGAAACAAACTTTTGAACTGAACAACGTACATTTCATTACTTTACCAAATATCTTTGTTATTATGTAATAATATTAACTAAATATCCTGTAATAAGTTTTTAATAAACAAAGAAAGTAACTGAAACAAAAAAAAAAGCTTTTATCACCTTATCAGACATATTTTTTTTTTTTTTTTAAACATTTTAGGGTTCTATCAAAAGTGAACAAAAACGTGCTGTGCACAGTGCTCTTACATGTTTACGTGCCTGAAGTAGCACATCCTGCTGCCTTTGCTGTGCTGCGGACACCTCCAAGATGTGTCTTTGAGTTGGTTGTCTGGCAAGGGGGATACTGGCTTGATGGGTGATCTGAGATCGAACAATCTCATCTATTGTGGCGTCGGCTGTCAAAAGTAAACAGAGATCATTTTTAATTCAAGAGAAATCTCGGAACACATCACTTTTTATTTAAAGAAGAATCTCTTGTTATTCATTGACAACCAATTAATTTCAATATTACTATATGTATTGAACAGAACAACAGAAAATCTTTGATAAAAAGTGTACATCAATGAAATTCTCATGCAGCAGTGCTTTTTAGTGAAAGTTAAGTCTTGAAATCATGTTTGCCTGCTAAACAGTGAACAAGATTACTTATATTTCTTATTTCATTCATTTACAATTGTTGGAAGATATAATATTTCATTTAAATACAAAAAGATCATAAATTCCTATACATGTAACTAATTATTCAACTGAAAGAACAATGCCCACAACAATAAACATGTACTAAATTGATGCTGATACCAATGAAATGAATGAAGTGAAAGGCAAGTACAGCCATGTTAACTTGAAAAAAGTTTTTTAACATCAATAAAAAAAGTCATCCTATGACAGAACTTTAATTGCTTTAAGGTACAGAGACCATCAATATTTAAACAGGAAATAGCCAGACACTATTAGCAACAGAAATGAAACTAGTAGATCAAATATTATAAAAAATTGGCCCAGTGGTCCAAGTTGAAAAATCAGATTTGTTCATAATGCAAGAAGCTTGATAAATGGATGAAATGGTTAAAAATATGCCTCAGGTGACTAAATATTAAAATTTAATGCTTTATACTGTAAAATCATATATTTTTATAGGGTCAATTTTTTTCACCCCCACAAAAATTAGTGATTTCTCAGTATGTATATATTTTGTGGAAAAAGTATGAAGAGCAAGTTTACAAAACGTATACTAAGCTACTTGTAGATTTAGAAAGAATTTGGATATTCTATAGGACTTTGACATCTTTTAAATAAATAGCCCCCCAAGAAAGAAACTTTTACATATATTATATAGGGATGTCAAATCGGTCAATTTTCAATACTCGGTTACTCGGACATTTTTCCGATCGAGTACCTGGGTACTCGGTAAAAGTGTAAATAAATATGAACAAGTAAATTGAAGACTGTAAAACATTGTAAACTCTTAAAGAAATAAAACCAGATGCACTGATAGGAATCTTATCCGTAAAATTAATTTATTTCTGTTGTAATAATGATGAGCACTTCGTGCCCGACGAAATTTAATATAACAATTTTTAAATTCAATTTATTTATCACAAAAACACAAGAAATAAAATCATAAGTTGTTCACAGTGTTTTTGTTTAAAAGAAATAATCTGCTCTGTACACTGTAATTCTAAGGTAACTCTTTGTCGTGTTTGACGACCAGGTATCAGTCGTCAGGGCTGCGTACAGTATCAACTTGAAATTGATCAAGTTCTCCTGAGAGAGCGAATTTAAGATTTTAGTACACTTGTTCGATCTGAGATTTATATAGTATTACGGGACGGTATTTTGTAGTTTGATGCAACAATGGACATCAGTTTTTTAAAGCCTTTGCCTTCAACCAGTTGTATTGGCATGTAATCAAACACAACCATATCAACAATCGCACGTGTAATATCATCCGCTCTTTTCCCGAGAATTTACGGCTTCTCAGAGAACTGACAAAATTATCTAATTTATTTAAACATAATGGATCTTAAACGATGTTCAGTGAAAACAAATAATTAAAGCCAAACACAAAATAAGGGAATGAGACAGCCGAAGGTCATTAATTTTTACGATAATTACTGTATAAACACTGCCACAGGCGATAACGGTGATTTCTCGTAGTAAATATTACTGTATTTACAAGTGCAATGAGCATTTTACGTTTTAAAACAGATTGTTTAATGCATTATTATAGATAAGATTAGAAATATTCAAAAATATACATCCGAGTAACCGAGACGATTTTTAGTATTCGATATAAATAGCCCCCCGGTTAACCGGGAAACTTTTACATAATATTATACAATCAAGTACATTAAACAATACCATTACAGAGCAATAATTTTAAAAAAAAAAAGGGGACATAAATTCCATTTATCTGAACACCTAATGTTAAATTTGATCACATCCTAATGAATTTGCCTTCTTTTTCAAAAACATGAACAAGAGGCCCAGAGGCCCCAGTGCTCACCTTAATCACTTCCAAGTTTGGCCCAGGAAATTTTTTCAAAAATATTTTCTTTCCTTTTCATAAATATTTTGTGGAACAAAATCTAGATTTTAAGGATCAAGTTTAATTACCATCATTCAAAGTTAAATCAGCACACCGTTAGGTTGCTTCAACGTTAATATGATCATCTGAGTTCTGCTTTTTTTAAATTGTTTCCTGTACATATGCACTAGGTAAAATCTGAATCTCCAATTTTATCTGCTTGACTCTAACCCCAAGGGCACATTTAAATTAGAAAAAAATATGCATCTTGGTATATATACATGTATTTAGCCAGAGCTCCAGATAAGGTGCGTATTTGCAGAAATACGCATTGAATTTTACAAAATACACATTGAAAATTAAAATAGGGCATACAATTACGCATTAGCAATCGTAGATAAGCATTGCACCACGAAAGTACTGCATACAACAAGTTGAATAATACGAGTACGACTTACTTAATGATAAGAATTGAGGTTAACTCAGTGTTTGATTTTCTCAAAAACGAAATACGGATTCAAAAGCCTTTTATTAACCTGGAATATTCTAGTAGCAACTACGTCTCCATTTCGGGAGAAAGAAATCAGAGATGTAGATTAAAATTTGTTTCTTTAAATCGAAAGATCATGCACTAGGCATATTATTTTATTATGGGTTCATAGCCAATTTTTCATTTCTCTCAACTTGCCATATAAACGAAGATTTTTTCTCTCTCAGTTTGATCCCTTATTGTAGCCTCCACCCATTCTCAAGGACTCTCAAGGAACTGATCCATCTCCTATTTTAATTAAGAAGGTGTGGCTTCAGCTTACTTGGACAAACTTAAATCCCATTTATACAAGTATGATTTGAGGTAAATTTGGTTGAAATTGGCTTTGTGGTTCAAAAAAATGTGAAAAGTTTACAGACAGCAGACTAACAATGGATTCCCTTTAATCAGAAAAGCTCACTTGAGTCTTTGGCTCAGATTAGCTAAAAAACTAAGAGAGAAAGTGGTAAGCAACATATGAAAGAAACTACTCTAAATGAAACTACATGTACATAGGGTCTTACGGAAATTGCTTCTCCTAGATTTATGTATCCTGTCTTTCCAAACTTTAACAAAGGTATTTCCTACAACTAAACAAGCAAGTCTCTTCCTTATTACACTCATTTAAGCAAAAAACACTATAAATATACATGAACAACTTTACCTTACCAAAGAATAAAAGCTTGAAAAAAAAAATTGAGCAAAGGAACACTTTTGAAAAAAAAAAAAATAAAAGCTGAAAAAATTGTTGAGTCCATGCAGAGTTGAGGACAAATTTTAGACCAAACCATTCACCAGGAAAGAGGAGTTTGGGTTTGTGTTCAAAGCAATTAAAAGTGAAAGAGAGATCGGAAAGGTGTATGTAGGGTTTCATTAGATTGCATTGGAAAAATACCATATAAGTAATAATTTTAGAGGATTTAATTTTGGCATTATTAGCGAGGGTGATGAGATCGCTAAAATTACATATTGCTAAAAAATTATTGCATTTTATTTGTAATAGGTTCTTTAATGAACATTTTAAAATTGCTAAAATTACATCTCGCTAAAAATTAAATACCAGTTTTAAGGACAAATCGCTAAATTTGCGTCTCGCTAAAATTTCCACTTATACGGTATTTAAGTATGATTATAAAAATTCATCAAATTTTTTTTGGAGAATAGAATATTGTACAATAAATACAAAATATTAAAAAATTCCACCCTTATTCTTAGTTACATAGAGGAAATCAAAACACTCTCAAGGATGAATTTATTTCCATATTTTTCTTTTGTGTGTGTGTGTGTGGGGGGGGGGGGGGCTGTTTGTGTGTAGGATATTACTTGGAAAACTCAAAACTGACTATAGCTACAGGAATTCTACCTCCACATATTGGGAATCAATTAAGTGATGTGAAACCTTAGAGACAACCAACCACCAAAAAGGTCCTTCTTAACTGTGCCCCCCTCTCACAATGTACCACAGGCCTAAGACTATCCTACCTGACCCCACACCCTTCTCTCACCTGGGATGGGCAATGGTCTCATAGGTGGGCACACTGCTAACATTTACAATACAAATGATGTGAGATAGATAATCTCGTAACAATGAAGTTATGAGGACATAATGGATTAATCACATTTCTAGCTGCACAATAACTGGACTTTATTTAAAAAAAAGGTTTTGAAAATTGTTTGAAAAAGACCATAAATGCACAAAATGTACATAAAAGAATGAATATGAATTTGTTAACCAAATGTCTTAAAACATGCAAATTAAAATCATTTTCTAATTTACTCATCACAACGAAGTGCAATCCTTGTGCCATATTCATTACATTAGTCAATCTTTGCATCATTACAAAAATATTCTAAGTATTACAAATGCCACTTTCTTTACTAAAAATGTGCAAAACTAATTCTGGCAACAGACACAATATTATAAAACTACTGCAAAAATGACACAAATGGTTGCTGCAATCTAACATCTTTGAATTTGCTCTTTCAAAATTATTCCATTCTCAAGTCTCAAATTGGTGAATATTATTAATGTAATATTGTATTATGATCACTTCAAAATCCTAAGAGTAATTTTCAGTAATTATTTACCATTTCAGTTTAAAAAAAAATCAATTTTACAATTTCAATTCAAAAGGTGCACATTTTGTTCCCACTGGGGTACCATAAAATGCATATTCTTAAAACCAAACAATGCAAAATGGCAACTGTTTAGCATAACTTTCCAATTTGAGACCTGCAAACATTAGTGTGCCTGTTGCAGGTGTTGCTAGTTTATTCCACCACTCCCAGTGATACTACCTCCAGCTTGCTGACCCCCCTTGACGAGGGTCTGAGGGGTCACCAGGGCCTCAAAAGGCCCCGTATAGGCCATGCTGGTCACTATGCTGTCGGCGGTTCCCAGCTGTGGAGCATGTGCAAGGCACACCTCTGGCACAGCAACTAAAAGATTGCACAATCACATGCTGTAGCACTCTCACCAGACATTTGTGTACAGGATCTTGTCAAGTGTTGATATACTACATATACCACTGTGAATCTCCTAATTTTACCCAAAATCTAAACTTAATATAATTTTTTTTATAAACAAAAAACAGCATTCCACTAAAAACACATAACACAAAAAGTGCAATACGACAAACAAAAGCTGGTGTTGAAAATAGGTGGGTGGGTTGGATATGGATGATTGATAAGCTGTTTGATATGATTACGGTCTCATTATGACTAAAACTTAAGCCCATGCATTTCCTACATCCCTCACAAGTGCAAATCAATGTCCCTCTCATATGAAATTTGGCAATGTCATTAACTTTCTTCAAAGTGTTGCACAAACAATTTTTTTTAAAATGTGTCTCAAAATTCTGCTAGACGTTTCATAAAAAATTTGTTGCTATGTTTACAAAACTAAATTTCCATGAGAGAGAATTGATACCAAGAATATTCCTTCTCTGCCACCTGTGAGAAGAATGGGAGTAAGCTACCTGCAGGCATCCCTAAAAGTTTTGCAATTATCTCATCCTGATTTTTTTGACGGAATGGTTTGAGAATTTTGGGTCGTCCTCTTATCCCATGTAGCAACCAATCTGGATCTATTATTAACAATTGACAAAAACAACATCAACACTTGGTTTCCAAACATAGCAATAAATTCAATATTCATAAAGCCAAGCTGCTGCTCATAAGCTTCTTCATGACCATTACATGTTCTAAAATTTTGGATCTGGTATTCACAAGAGCATGTTTGAATATTTCAATACTTTGCAGTTGTAGCAAAAAGTCAGTGTCAAATTTAGTAGTGTAAAAAGAAACTTAGAAATTAGGAGCTTAACAAGATTAGATTATGAGCAGCATGTACAGCATATTAGTACTAAAGGAAAGATAATATTAAAGATACAACTGTATAGGCTGCAAAAAGAAGAGTGTGTGAATTAAATTGGCACACTGATAAATCAGGGTATTTAATTAAAAATCAACAATTTATATATAATGTTAATAATACAAAGTAAGGTAAATTTAAGGTAAATATGTATGTATAAAAGTTGATTTTTAATAAAATCATTATTTAAATCAATATCTACAGCTATTCTATGTATACTGCTAAGCCCTGCTATACCAGAACTTACACTTTCTATCAGATTTTACTGGGCCTTGTTCAAATACAGCTAATAATAAAAGATATAATCAAATGTAGTCTTTTTCATAAATCTTGACATTATTCATTATAATACTGAAATAATTAGTTATAGTTTCATTGGATTTATTTTTGTTTCAGAATATTTATTTATTGCAACTGAAACAAAGAAATAAAACAACATTTCAATAAATATATGCTGTATATAATCATGCTATTAAAACACATATATAAGCAAAATCTCAAAAGCTGCAATGCACTACTAAATACAACGTGCAAAATGACAATGAGACAGTGAAAGAAAAGCAGAAAGGGGGTAATAACTCACACAGGTTAGACACAAAAGAGTTAAGTTAAAAAGGGGGATAACTCTGTTCCTGATTACCTCCACTGTTTATGTTTTGTATTTGCTGTGCCATATACTGAGCAGCAAATGTCTGCTCATGGTGAGGGCACAATCCGTCCAGATTAAAAGGAATTGTCGGAGATACCTTGTTGCCCGAGTAACGGAAATGTGGAGCTGCTGAAGGAGAAAAAAGGCAGAAAAAGACAATATCATGCTGCGTGATTACACAAAACAAGAAAGCGGCCATAGTGTGGCACTCTCCCACCTCCCCAAAGAGTCATCTAAGTCACCAAAGGAGATGGTTATATACATATTGTTCTGTAATGGTTATGTGACCAGAACTGCAATCTTCACAGGAAAATTTACTATTCGATATATTTTTTTTCATTTTAGTTCTTTCATTATAGCCTTATGCATAAACATGAAAAAGTAATTTATAAACAAATCTCATGCATTAGAGTTACTGTGCAAAAGAAAAGTTAAAAAGGAGCCTTATATTCCTGAAGATATTGCAATGCTCTAAATTCTGGAAACACTACCATTTCTGGTTCTACATAACCTTAATTAGGACACAGTCATAAAGACATTGAATTTTCATTGCAAGGACTTAAAAATATATCCTGTACTAATTTATTGAAACTTTATGACTGTGTCAAAGATTGTTTATCATGTCTTGGTTGATGTGAACTATATAATTTCTAATTTCTATGCGTTACAGAATTTTTTGTTGAAAATTGCAAAATATGTAGGAATGGAACAGTTTTATTTTTTTAAAGCTTTTCTTTTTTCTTCTTCATTACTTTCTATGAACCAAAACAAAGTTCACTCAAATATTTTGCTATAAACAAATATGTTTTATGCTGTACAGGTAAAATGATTAATGCTTCTTCTATCTTTAAATAAATTTATTTTTTTATCTTGAAATGTAACATTTTTCCATTCCTATACTGAAACATCCTTAACCAAATTGTACAGGGTAAATTTTAAAGAAAAAGACTTCACCTCCAACCCCAATACACAGAGATATATTTTTCAAACAATTCAAACTATAGGTTCCCTTTTATCTATCTGTACCTTTCTTTGGATAAGGTTTGTTTGATTTAACCTCAGATCCTAGAAGGAAAATTTCAGCAAGGATTTAAGTGCAAGAGACTATAACAGTATAATACGTACATTGAATTCTACATCTTTTTTCCAATAGCCTTATCATATGCATGCCTCTAATTCTCGATTCACATGCAGATTTCTCTATCATGGCTAAATCTATCTCTCTTGTGTTTCCATTCAGATCATGCTTATGAAGCGATATAGCAAGATCACCATCATTCTGCCGAGAGAAGCATTTGTCAATCTACGAATTAATTGTGAACCTACCTTGATCCTGAACCAGTAGTCCATTTCTGAGATACGCGTTTGTCAAGGCTTCAAGATAGTCACTCTATAAAAGAAATTTGTATTTTGCAGTTAGTAAAATGCATTTAAAAAATCTTTCATACAAAACTGAAGTATTTACCATAACTGAAATATCACTCTTTATTCAGATCTTTTGAAATGATAAATTAATGCAGAAATTTGATTCAAAGCGCAATCCTGCAACAAAATATTTTTGGATGCTTTAGTCATTGCTGTTATGTCTTAGAGTTGCATATAGGTTACACTTAAATCTGCAATCGTTTTCCATTACCAAAATTAATAAACTTTGCCATCCCATCACCATCTTTTAAATTAAGCTTTTTGATTTTGCTTTAATCATTAATTAATCAATGTAAATTGGATGCATAATGAAAATCGCCTGACAACATTTATATAATTTATAAAATTCATGCATGTTTTGTTAAGAATTCACACGCTATATATAAACCATAGGCTGCTGTAAGGAAATTAATAAAGTGGTTTCCCACTTACAAACAAATATTGATCACTTCATCTTTTAAACATAAATCATAGAATATATAAATAGGAACTACAAAATTCCCAAAATACAAAAGTGAAAGAAATAGGGTGATCAACATTCATTTAGTAAGCAGTCTTAATTATGGCGGTTGATTATTATCATATTTACGTGGTCTCGAGGATCAAAAAGTGTTGTGTATGCCTAATACAAAATTAAAGAAGTCAAAATGATTGTTAGACAGGATACAATTAATGAAAAAGTGCAAAATAATTTTATACTTTCTCTCCTATATTTTAACATGAAAGTATTATAGTAGAGCTGCATTTGGGTCAAAATGTGAAAAAACTAAAATATAAATTGTGCTGGTTATTGCAAGAGATTGAAAATGGAAGAAATTATAGAACAGAGGCCGAACATGAAATTCACGAGGATGTGTGTCTACATTACCCTTCGAGCCCGTTGTTCCGATTTCTCATCATTTATTATTGGCTGAGTTGATTGTTCCTCACTAGATTTAGGCCGCTTTACAGCTAATGTATACTTCATACCAGTGGGGGGTGTAGTCAGCTGTTAATATCATAACGTGTCATTTAATAGCTTACGTTTTTATTAAGATTTGCATGGAATTTCCTTTTAAAAGGCTTGGGGTAGCTTTGCTGATCTGAACATCTGTTAGTGCCCTATAAGGTTTCTTAGAAAAAAATAGAAAGTATATCATGGGGCCTGGTCAAATAGTCATTGGTTGGGTAGAAGTATGACCATATAACCCTATGTTTTTGACAATCATAAATTCCCGACCCCTGAAATAAGACTGGTTATTTATCAAATATAGCATGAATATATATGATTACATGGCACATGCAAAAGATACTAATAATTTATTCTTTATTATCCTTTATTGGTTTTGGAAGCAAGTTATTTTTTTTTCAGTGTTAAAATTAGGGTGTACCTCTCTACCTCAAAATCTTGTTTTCTTTTACTTGATTTTTTCTTCAATGGCTGGAATTGTCAATTTAAGCTTTATTTGTAAAGTGGCCTTTTTATATGGTGCCTATCAAGACATTGGTTCATTACAGCTAGTTCATAAGGTGCAAAAATTTAGAAAAAAGGAACATATCAGGATATAAAAAAGTTACAATATGCAAAAAATGGCAAAAAAATATGCTGCTTCAAATTTAAAAATCATTTGAAATATTTTTCGAATTAAATAAGCTCAAAAAATTCAATTAAATAATTCAGTCTTGTTTTGCATACTCAAAATTTTGAATGAAGCAACATTTGTAAGTTCATATAAATATGAAGGAGCACTGTCTATGAACAACATAATAGCTTTCTTTAGCCAGCTAGGTATAAAGTCTAGTTCAAGCTCTGACTGTTGACACTGGTTACCTAGGTTACTTCCACGGAGGACCAATCCGTGGCAGTTCAAGGGGAACAACTCCGTAATATGGCTGAAAAAATATAAGCTTCTACTTGTGAAAAAAGGAAAAAAAAATGCATTTTTTCCTCCAATGCAAATAAATTTTAAGATGGACTCCAAATACAAAGACACTAGCTCAACAGCTTGGGTCCTGGCTCTAAATACATAGAGCTATGAGAAGATGATGCCACATTGAACTATCTTACATTATCTGTTGAATTCTGTAAGAGAAGAATTTTCAGGAAATTTTCCTGCCATCAATTGATTTTTTTTTCTTCATATATTACAGCAGCCTCTTCACCAAAGTGGGAAACTAATCAAGTGTTCTAATCAACAAAATACTGGGTTGTTTATATAAATAAGGAACTCATACCCTTCACCTGCTTTTAATCACACTTCTACCACCCATAAAAAGTGCCTATGATCAATTTTTAAAAAAAATTCTACTAAAAACATGACAAAAAGAAAACATTCAGAACTAACGCCTGGCATGCAGAATAGTATGGTTTGTTTATAAAAAGTCACTAATTTTTTTTTTTTTTTTTTTTGGGAAAATATTTAAAGGGACATAACTAGGGAATAGCTACAAAATTTCATACAAGGATGTAAAGGTGCTGAAAACTGCACAACCTTCCTTAAAAATTCCTTCACCTTATTTCTTACCTGTACAAATTTTAACGAATACTGCAATTTCATTTTTCAACCATTTATATTTACTTAAAATAGACTTGAACAAAGTACAATGTATAAACAAACTCAGCTATCAAATCCACTAGAAACAAAAAATTTGGTGTAAAACTTTGGATAAAATTATAGGGGTTTCATATGAAAATTTGTCTTAATTAATAAAGAAAAAATTAAGGCCCTCTCAGATTTTATTTTCAGGAGACAAAAAATCATGATCAGCAAAGGTTTACACCTTTATAAAATAACATAAAGTATTAAAAGATGTTATTTATTAGATCTAAATGTCTATTAGAAAATATATACCTTTTCCTGCTTTGCATGTGCTTGCTGATGCCCTGTCAACATAGGTGGTTTTTTCTCACAAGCATGTGGATCCTAAAAAAGTTTTGAGAAACTTTATAATCATGCAAATATCTACAAGTTCAAAGAACTTACAAATTAAATATATCCATGTATTTTTATCAGGCCACTTTGATTTTTTTTTATTTGATTCACTTTGATTTTTTTTAAGCTCCTATGTCAAAAATCTATCAGTTTGTATATTTTTATATAATGGAGTATATAAATTTCATTTCTTTCATCATACCATTGCAATGACAGAGTTCATTAAGACTTACGTCAAAACTTTTATTAGAAAAAGAATTTTATATTGAACAAATGCAGAGAAATTACAAAATTATCTTGCCAAAAGCTGAAGAGAAATTTTTTTGCTGGTTCCAAAAAAAATGTTTGATAAACCTGAAACTTTACATTTTAATAGTAGTAGCAGTAAATCTTATTTAATGTCAATGTTAAAATTGTTAAATTATTTTTTCTAGATATTTATATACCTTGTAATTGGGGGAAATATATTTGAAGATTCTTTTTCTCTTGTTTAATCGTTTTAGATACTCTCTTAATAACGATTAATGTGTTTGTCTTTAACTTTTTCTTCTTTTTGGTAGGCTTTGAACAAATATTCAAATAATAAAATACATGTTAACTATAATAACAAACACTAAATTTAAGTTAAAAAAAGATTGATTGCATATGGATATATTAAAATCCTTATAGCATAATTAATACATGAACATTTTTTTTAATCTCAAGATTAGATCACAAACAGAAAATGAAAAATAGTATCAAGCCTAAATATACACATTCTGAATTTGCAACACACACAATTATAATTGACAAGAAAAAATTATTCAAAACTTCAAACCAAAGCCACTTTCCTCTTCTATAGTTTAAGTATATATTAAAAAATAATTAAATAAACTAAAATAATGATGAAAAAAATGACAAAACCATGTGAAGGGATATGGTAAGTTAATCATTATTGGTTAATTTCAATTCTTTAGTATTATTATCCATGGTAAGCAACATTTCTCAGTTGTCAGTGGTTAACAGTCTCAAAATTCTGATTGGCCACACTTTTGTCATGTGACTTCCTACCTGCCAATCAAATGGCATGACCCGAATACAGGGTCGTGAATGAGGTCGAGTTGGCTGTGTAAAAAGTAATAAAAAGTTGCTGCTCAAGTGAGATTAAATAAGCTTGAAGAAAAAAAATATGCATGTAACAGTCTTCAGGATGAATGCAGATGCCCAGATTTAGAAACATCCTGAATTTTTATTGAACTAAGTATATTTTATTTTCCATGGTTAAATTATGCCTGAAAAGGAATGTTCATAGAGTATTGATCAACAAAGTATTCAGTAAACCCTATCACTATATCTTAAGGTCGAAAATAGCAATTTTCATTGTTTGCAAGGTAATTTTTTATGTCGAATGCTATGGACTGGCTATAAAACTGATTGTTAATATGTCTGGAAGATGCTAAGAAGTGAAAAACATTATTAGTAAAAAATAAGAATAAAAAAATAAAAATTAAAAAGTTTGTTTTTTTTTCTTAAAAAAAAAAAAAAAAAATACTAAAAATAATTTTTCTGATAAAAATAAGCACTCACCAATTTAAATTGTCCACAGGTGATTGATTGAAATGAAATGATTTTCAAAGATTTGTGTCAGACAGAGAAATATTTTCAATCCAAAATTTAATTCATGCACATTTTATTCTTTAACAGTTTCATATTAATATGGGGAAAAAAATCAAAAAAGTAAAATGTATTGTCATGCAATTTAAAATATATAGGTTCATGCAGAAAAAAGGATAATATTATATATGTACTAGTTAATTAATCTCATCATTCTTGCTTAAATATTAGGGTTACAACATAAATGGTATATCCACATATACATGTATGGTATTTGTGATGCTCTTCGATAAAATTGTTCTGACAGGTTAAATTAAAGGGATATATTAAAGTTGAACTATTAGTTATGCATTATAAGCTCTTATAGGGTCTAATAAAAAAAGAAATAATAAAATGCACTGAATACAAGTATCAAATAAATCTTAATAAAAAATGGACAGTTAAAAATGCTGGTTGCAGAGGAATGAATATTTGCTCTAAAACGCATTGCATAGTACATACATTCTGATCCTGTTGAAGAGGGAAAAGAAAGACAAGAAAATTGATTATTACAAATTATTTCTTTGAGTTACCCTTTAAAACTCATTTATTCTATCATTAATTCCTTATAATTATAGTATATTGTATACAGTTACTATGGTGACTTACCCTTGAGGCGTTGAACTGTAGGTGGACAGGTGGCCCATCAGACACGGAACTGTCAGATCCCCCGTCACTAAAAATAATACACTCAATTCAAAAATCATCACACACAATTTGTTTCATGTCTCTGAGATTGATAAAATAAGATCCTAAGTAAATCACACCTGAATTTATATTACTAGAAGAAGACCGAAATTTAGTCAATGATATTTCCATACATAGAATTCTTTAGGCTCAGCCTAGCCTACTTTTGCCAAGGTTTCCCCCATTTCCCCAATGTTTCTGGCCAATTAAGAGTTCTTAGGGCTCTATCGCCTATTAAATTTGATTCAAACAATAATTTATTGTTAGGCTTGTACAGTTCAGTAGACACTGCCTATAGAGCGCAGTAGACATTGCCTATAACAGTGCAGTAGACACTGTCTATACCATAAAGTAGACACTGCCTATACAGTACAGTATACACTGTAGAGTAGACACTGCCTAAACAGTGCAGTAGACACTGTCTATACAGTACAGTAAACACTGTCTATACAATACAGTAGACACTGCCTAAACATTTCCTCTTCTTAGTCTAGCCTATTTGTGCCCTTATTCTCTGTTGTCTGAAGTTTCTGTACAGACACAGAGCTCCTAAGAATATAGCTTATTTGTACCTTTATTCCTCTACTTCCAAAGATTATTTATACCTTGACTCTACGTCTGAGGAGTAGTCACTAAGGTTGATGTCGTTGATGTCTGTCGTAGTTGTTGTTGAGATTCTCTGGAGTTTGACCATTATCTCCCGTTTCAAACGCTCCTCAAGTTCAAGAAGAATATTGCAAGTCTACAAAATATTGATAGATCATGAATGTTAAACCTGCATTTATTTTGGCTGCCAAATATTTTGTTTAAAAAAATGACCATAACAACATGGCTACCTCACTCAAAAAATTCACAAGTACAACAGGCTAATTCATAATCCTCTGACTAACACACGTCCTCAGAAAGCACTAAATAGTTGATCCTCTTCCAAAAACCACATGTAAAGTTTCTCTATAGTATTATTAGTTACATAGTCTTTTAGTGACAGGGTATGGGATGATACCTGGTTAGTAAATTTCATACCTGGCGAGGCGGAGCCGAGTCAGGTATGAAATTTAATAACCAGGTATCACCCCATACCCTGTCACTAAAAGACTATGTAACGAATTTACCCCATCGATGAAACATTTACGTTTTATCTGTAGCTTATAAATGGTTTTCTCTGCTAAATGCTTCATCACGCTTATACTGTGCCTATTATGACGTCACGTTTGTGTTTGTGACGTAATACATCGACCGGGTATAGATTTACAACTGACCGGGTATAAGTAATTCCACGTGACAGAGTTCAACCAATCGTAAGCCAGGATTTCACGGAAAAATAGACAGAGGTGGGGTAATTAGTAGTACATGTTGCTCATTGTATTGATCATAAGCTGGTACAATACAGGTGTGTTTCTTAATCAAAGCACAAGTTGAAACTTGAGGTGTTTTTTTTTCCCATTCAAACATACATATAAAATCATGCATGTGAATATGCTTGATGTGGGTAACAACTGATCATGCTCATGCAAATTTCATAGTTCTATTATCATTTTTTCATAATATCAATATGGAAAATAAAATTTTAAAAAGAAAAAAAATCAGAGAGGAAAACAAGACTACAATGTCAGATTTGTTTGTCAAAGCTGGTGCTTGCTGTGTTTCTTATCAAATGGTGGCTAAAATCTAAGGCACTTGAAATAATTACCATTATTTATGCATTTCCTCAAAATTTTCACACCAACATCATGTAGGCAAGCATTTCAAAGTGAAATCTGAGTTAGTACACAACATATTCAAACATTATTACCTATGTAATATTGAACCTTATTATATACTACCTTAAACGATTGGTGTCAAAATTTACGATATTATGTATACAAACATAGTCCATTTGGGTTTTAGTACTGTTTAGATTCTTACTTTAGTGTTATCTGGATCACAGTAGTCTAGTAAGGTATCACAGAAGTGGTATCCTAATGCCTCAAAGTCAGCCATACTGAAGTGGTAACCTTTCTTCTTGCCCATGGTGGATCCACAAAATGTTGCCTGAAGAAAAACCATATTTCACATCACCAACAAAGAATGAAATACATGAACAGTTAAACTTGTTTCATAGGGACACAGGTGGTTCAGAAGAAATTGCCAGATTAGAGAATATTTCAAACAATGAGATTTAATGAAAGGGACAAACAAAGCAAATCACAATAGGCAAGATTTCAGAATACACATGGTCTGGAATAGACAAGATTAAATTTACTTTATTTAATTACTATTCATTCCAATTTAGATCTTTTGAAGTTACAGAGAAAATCTACCAAAACTCTGCATAAGATATGCATAACTGACCTCCATTGTATAACTGTTCATGATGCCCATGTTCCACATAACAATTCTGCCTGTGCCTTCCTTACTTTTCTGTACTTTGAACTTGCAGGATTCAAACTTGAACTGTAATAATGAAGAAAACATTTTAAAGAAATATACTTGTAACTTATTTGCTATCCTACATTTCATTATAACCTCAAAAAAGTTTAACAACCTTTACTGTATTTTTGTGTGAGTGCGTGAAGTACATGTAGTATGTATGTTCCTGGCTGCGAGTACAACATACTTTATCAGGAGCATTCTTGTTGAGCATTAGTGGAAACACCCTCTCCTTCAGCCTTTTCTCTGCATTGTGTCTGTTCTCACAGCCATATATAAACACATTCTGTTTTCTACTGTGTCCATGTAAATCACAGTACACAATTATCTCCCTTTCCTGCAACAACCTGCAGAGAAATTTTTTTTTTTATAAAAATATCAAAATGTAAAATATATTTCTTTTTAAGAACTAATATAAAATTGAAGTCTAAAAGTTAAACAGCTTAAAAGTATATCTTTGAATAAAGAAAAAAATGCATTCAATTTTCCTCCTTATTTTTTCTATCATTTGTCAACAAAATACAGCAGTCCTTACTTTCGGATCATGTTTTTGGTATGCCACACGGAGGGGTAGGAGTCTTTGAGCACCGTTTTGTAGTTCCTATTGAGATCCCTCCCTGCCAGGGAGCACCTGTAGTTACCAACTATCACTCCATCAGGGTTCAACATTGGCACAATTTTAAAAATAAAAGTATCACGAAGAAGCTGAAAGTAAAAGGAAATCAATTTTGTATAGTTTTTTTCTAACCCAAATAGCAGTGTAGAAAGTATAAATGATATGTCTATGATCCAACAGATAACTTTGTTTGAAATCTCTGCAAGAGTTAAAGATCTCTACAGAATTGATCAAATATACAGATTTTATATTCTGCCTGCCTTGCTTTCACAACCTAAAATTATACTGAGTTCAGATATTCAAGTCAAATAAAAATCAGAATTAGCCCCCACTGAAAGGTTAAGTATAATGTGTCCAACACTCTTTTGCTCAGTACAGAAAAACAATTGACTGGAGATTACCTTGGCATCTGCAGAATTTCCTGTTAGGTAGTCAAGGAAGCCCTTCATCATCCAGCTAGAGTTACACTCCCCTGGATGTACCCTGGACGTGATCACTACAGCCTTCTTATGCTGCAAAGACAGTGAGAATTTAAAACATTTTTATTCAATTTACTAAGAATGACAAATTAAATTTCAAAATATGCATTTGCTCGAAAACTACAAAGAAATTTTAATCAAACTGTTATTTGAATTTCATGGATACGCCTGAATTTGATATACATGTATAAGTTTATCATTTTTGAAATGTATTTTAACCTTAGCAGCATTATAATCTTTGAATTTAATTCTCAATTTTTTTTTCAATACCCTGTTTGGTTTAAGATAGTGAAGTTTCACTTTCACTGACCTTCATGTCCTCTGGGTTCTGTGTAGGGGAGGTGATACTGAGTAGATAGACTAGATTCCCCGCTAGGGTTCTACAGAGAACTCTCTGTTTACAGATCTTACTCTTCACTGGATCATTATTGAGGTCCAGGAGATAGTCCTAAAAAGCATTGGAAGAAATTTAAGTCACCCAACCATACAAATGAGTTAACAGCAATATAATCCAATAGGCATTTCTCAGTGGTTACATCAAAATTTGACAAATCAATACTTTCTGTCTTTGAAGCAATAAATATCCAAATACGATAAAACTCAGTTATAGGGAAGTCACTGGTGCTCCAGGTTTTGCTTTCCAAGAACAAAGATTCTTATACAGATATTGAAAAATCCTCATTGCGATTTGTAAAAAGTTCCTTATAACCAAGATTTCCTTATAAGTGAGTTCTTTATAACCAAGTTTTACTGCAGACTTGATTGTGTCATACCTGGAGGTCTGTGTAGGTGTATGGGAAGCAGTGAGCGAAGTATACAGTGTCATGGTTGTGTTCAAACTTCACTGTCCATGTCAGAGAGTAGAAAGACTTGTCACATTTAGACGTTGAATACCTTTATAAAGGTTAAAAAAAAAGATGAAAACTTGGTAATTCAGATACATAGAAAAATAATCAAATACATGTAGTACTGGATATGCTGCATGGATCATTTTTATATCTTCATATTTTCAAAATCTGCAGAAAAGAGCTTTTTTTTTTCAAACATATCAACACAATAGGAGGTATTTTATCACTGCAAACAATGCACCCTTCTATGAAAGCTGTAAGTAATATTAAAATACCAATAATTTTTTTTAAAATTCCAGGAACAATTTGCCTTAATTAGCACTGGTTCAAACAAAGCAATTGGATAAGAGCCTACAAAATAATGCTAGCCAATACTCTGTCATCCATCCTTCTCCATACAAGCACCATAAACTATTCCTTATTAAACAATTCAATGTTCAATATCATTTGGACAGAAATCATCCTTTATGTTTTTATTTTACATTTAATGAAAACCAAGCTTAACAACAAACTATTATTGAATAGCCTTTACTGTTGTAACTTGAATTCTTTAATTCAAAAATAAGTGCAAGAAGATGTGTCTCATAAGACATACATAGAAATAAAATATCAAAAAGAAAATTCATAGATTTTTTTCTTTACAGAATACAACATGTACCCATCACTGACTAGCTACCATATATGGACATTGAGAAGGTGCAAAACATACCTGTTTATAGTGCCAGATAAACTGTATACATGTAGATTTGATAATAAATATCTGAATCTATTCTTAATATGGAATGTCTGATTAAATATATCTTTATATAGTTTTACAAGGAATTTAAAATTTGAATATCTGCATCTTGACAACATTAGGGAACATTAATCGAATATGAACATGTCTGAAAAACAAATAGTGCTCAATCTCCAAAAAACAAAATTATCACCAGAATGATTTTCAAGGTTCTTTGTTTGCTGATCAATGTATATTTTATTATCTTGATATACAGTCGAATTATAACTGCTTTTATCATTCTATAATGTACATATCTCATAATTGATACTAGAGCTATCCTACCTGAGATTATTTTTATAGTACTTGATGTCACTTCCACCTCTGACCCAGCCTATCTTCTTCTGTTGAGCATTCTTCTCACTGTATATTAATGGCTTCATTCCATTATTGTACAGACTATCAGACTGAAACAGAAAAGACAACTCTTCATTTTTCACTCATTCAAAATAGTTAAAAAAAAAAACAAACAGATGGACAGGAAAAATAAATCCCAAATAACCCCCCCCCCCCCCTTCGATCTTTGATTACAGGAGCATAAGAGCTATATACAGTGAAATGCCATAAAATATATATAATTTTTTACATTTTTTAGTATGAGCATCTCAAATGACCTTAAAACTAGATAACTGATGAGAGAAATTACCAATTTTATGTACAGTATTATTTTGAATCAATCTATACCTTCATGAAGTTGACGATGGTGAAGCGGTATGTTTTGTTGGCTCTAGTGTTAGATACCCTGAAGTAGAACCATTGTGTATGCTTGTTTGTGTAGAGGTCATATCTCAACCACAACTCATAGTCAGTGGAATTACTGAAAAACAATGTTAATTATAGACTTTACCTCAATCATTGCAAATATACAGTTGAACCTTGGTGCCTAGAACACTGATATCTAAAATGACTTATCCATATCATAACATAGAAAAGTGTTGTAAGTTTCAATTACTTTATGTTTTTAACCTTAGTGTCTTACATTCTCAGATATTCTAAATATTTACATTCAAGATAACAAGATTTGACTGTATTTTCCTTGCCTCTCAGATTAGACAATTAGACTTAGGGTCTTCAAGGCATTTGACTATAGATTTCAAATTAAACAATAGATTTCAAATTAAACAAAATCTAGATTACACAGGTCTCCCTGTAATTTACATGTTATGTTAATTCTTTAACAAAGGTTGAAAAAAAGATTTCAGAAGAAAGTCTAACAAAAGTTGTATTCTTACACTTGAACAGCTTTGGCAAGATTTCCACTTTCAAACCGAGATTCAAATATAAGAGTTTCATCCTCCTCAGATTCGAGGTCAATATTGCACTTCTGAGGTCCGGAGCGAAGTCCCCCTACACGGGACCTCACAAACTGAAAGATAACATGATAAATTAATACTCAGTGTAAAACATCTAGACCTTTTTATATAACTTGAACACTTTCAAATAAATGCAGATTTCTTCAGAATTCTTTTAAATGATAACATTTAATATTGTGCTTTAATTGATAAATTAGCCTACTAGTAGTTAGTTTTAACTTAAGCAATTGAGATATGGACAAAACTAGAGATAAATGTTTTGAGTTTAAAGTAACGTACATCATAATCCATACATGATGTTTATATGATTTTTTGAAATTTTATAAAACATGGCAGTGAAGTCAATAAAAGGCTCTCAAACTGAGAGAAATTTTAACAGTCTAAGTAAACTTGTAAAATTGCCAAAAGAGAATTGAACTGCAGTAATTCTAAATGGGGATACAAACAAAAGGAACAAAAAGATGAATCAAATCAGTATACCTCCTCTTCTCGGCCTGGGCTAGGTGACTGGTATAAAAAATTCTGTTTACATGTGGAACTTCTATGTAACCATGATAGCTAAATTCATTAGCATTACTTCAACAATATGTGCTTTTGTTCCAAAAAATCATTGTTTAGGATGCATAAAATGTCTATATATACATGAAATAAATTTTCGTTTGATTCATTTTTTAAAAATGCTTTTTATCTTCAGCGAGAAGAATTTTAAAAAATAAAAAACGCGGAAAAATTAAATACATATAGTGTTTCTTTCTTCTGTTTTGTACTGTTATGAGAAAAATAAATTTCAAACACCAAATGTATTGAATATATTGTTTTAATCCCATTTTTTTCCTAAAGTAAATCTGGCATCTCTTACTCCTATTCTCCTACAGAAACTATAACTAAACAGAACCCAACATTGAATTTACTTTACCTTCAAAGGTTGGGAAACACTCTCTGTAAACTGGCACAGTAACAAAAATTCTAGTGCATTATGAAGTGAAATTTTGTCTTGCGGAACACCATTATTTTTTCATTGAAAGTACATTGAATTTCAGCATTACAATGCATGAGCATGTACTTACAAATGTGGAGCGGGGTTCATACATATACACAAGGCGGCCTCCATTTTCCTCGCCCCGAACCATTGGTGTTTTCTCACAACCAGCTACAATAATCCATGTAACATTTGAAAACGTCCCATCTTGCAAGTATATTCCTAATACATGTACATAGCAAACCATGTCAGATCTTATATTCTACACAAAAGATCATAAAATTGAATCTTACAACTTGGTAAGATTATTGAATAGAATTTAAGTATGTATACATATGTTTTACAGTTTATAAACTTTCCTCACCAACACAGTTTTATGCATAATTTAAAATGTTATCAGACATCCTTTGATTGCATCCCCTTCCTCATAACAGTTTTTACCCCTCTCCCTTTCCCCAACTCACACTTTATTTCAATCTACAGATTATTCATCTCACTGACTCACTTGGTTTATAAAATAACTCAGGTTCTGGTGGAAGGTATCTTATGTGTTTGACTTTTTCATCCAAGACCTGAATATCTGCTGGCCTGGAATAAAAAGGACACAAAATTGAATAATCAAAATATCAAAGTAATAAATTTAAAGGGATTTCCTTTCAAAAGCATTCATAGTACAGTGATTTAGGATTATGCATATAGAAACAGCAGAAATTGAAAAACTGTAAGCTAAGGGGTTACATTTATTCTCCAGCTTGTTTGTTTGCTACTTTGCTAACAGAATTTTAGCAAAAAGTTATCTATGAAATTTGGACTTCAAGACTTGAGAAAAGTGAAAAGGTTTGGATAAGATCCAGAGTAAATAAATGAATTTAATTTTGGAAATGAATTGTTGACCTTATTTATTGCTTGTTTGCCTTTCCAAGCACCATGCTTCCCTATTTGAAATTTATCAAAAATATATACATGTTCTTAAATAATATATTCAGACACCCTTTAAATGATCCATTGTTCACTAGAATTGATAAAACAAGAATACACCAACATAAACCAGTCAAGTGTACCTTTTGGTCTCGGACATTAACAGAGTCAACATTTAAATGCTGAACAAGCGGAATAGATGGTCAATATTCAGGTACTAATGCTTGTATCACAAGGCATTGTTTTAGACACTTTTACTTATTGATTGACAGAGTTTAATCTACTGAACATGGCTCTTCCATTAAGTCAAAGCCTCACCATCTAGCTGCCTGCTGGGGCCCAAGTTCTTTGGCAAGAGCATACAAGTTTCTAGGTTCTCGAAGCTTTGGGACCTGTAACAATTCAACCAAGAATTAAATTTTATATGTGATTATGAACACTGGCAATTAATTTTCATTGCAAGTTATTAAAATAAATTGATCAGTTCCATGTGTTTTTGGTATCAACCTACCATTCCTTTTCCATCTTTGTAGCTGTAGACAAGCTGAGTTGTGCGTAGAAGGTCTTCCTGTAATTTATTGTCTGAAACAAAAACATTGTACAACTAGAGGTACTGTCTTCCTGTATGGTTATTTGAAAAATTGTTTTCCTGAAACAAAAATAGTAAAATAGGAGGTACAATTATATATCAAATTTCATTCTGGTATGAGAATATTGAATGGCCAGGAGAGGGAGTCACAAGGAGACAATATTTGTATTTGTTGTATTCTGAGATTGAAAAATATCAACATTCATAACGCAAAAAATGAAGACATCATCCAGAACATCAAACACAAGGCTTTTTTAACAACTTTTCAGAATTGTACTGATATGTAACTGAAAATGATGGCTAGAAAAAAATGATTATGATTTAATCATCTGGTTTGAAGACCATGTGACCTTAGCTTGCACACATTCTAAGTAACAAACACTCTGAATATCATTTAGGCCAACACAATTTTTCTAACCTTTTTTCCTTTAAACCCAAATTTTGTTTAGTTTCATTGATAAGAATTTGAATATCAAGCACATTTTTTTTTTCAAATAAGAAATGTTTGAGTTTGACTGATTTACTCACACAGGACAATCAATTCAAAACAATCGTATTTACTGCAACCAAGACACTTTAAATTTTTTTTAAAACAATCCTAGATGCCAAATATCACATGTCGATCTCTATACGACTGCAAAAAAATATTCATGGCTCCTTAATATCAGATCTACACACGTTACAGGGATTAAATTTCTAAAAGATAATCTGATTAGAGTAGTTAATAAAGCATTTTTATCTACACAGTAAACTCTATGCACATCACTTTAATCAGTACACGAGTCTCTGAGACATCATGCTTTTGTTGCACTGGCAAAGTGGTTTAATGAAAATACAAACAATTCATTCAAATGACAATCTCAAAATATCAACCATTGGATACAAACTATAGAAGCTTAAGTCTACTGATCTATGTATGACATACGGCATTTGTGATAACCCATATATGAGTATATAACAAATCCTAAAAATATGGAATTCAGGTAAATGATTCAAAGTTTCATCTAGCTGGCAACCAAATTACTGAAATGATATGAATAAAGCATCCTAGATTTCATTTTTATTTAATCACTTTTCACATGACAATTAAAACAATTTACTGAAAATTTTAAGTTTCAAGTACAATTGATCAGTGGAATTTTCCTGTTCAATGATTCACTCAAACATTTGTCTTCATCCAAAAAGAAAGAAGACAATTTTACTTTTATTCATTGTTGATTCTTGAATTAAAATGAAAAGCAAACATGGCCACCTAGCTAATTTAAAAAGTTCTGATGGAGGACTCTATTTAAAAATGCTGAATACAAGTAATCTTGTTGACACTCTACATCAATTTCCTTTTTTTTTTTTCCCATTAATTGATGCCTCAGAAGAAATTCTATAATTATACACACATGAAAAATTATTCATAAATGGGAACTTAAACAAAGTACCTCATGTAGAAGGCAAAATACCAAGAAAGAAGGGAGGGGGGTTTTTTTCAGAAAAGGAGGCTGTATGAAGAGAACTTTGTTTCCAAATTGTTTTGTTTAGCTATTTCTCCAGTTGTATCCAAAACATTTTGAAGGTAGAAGTATATGTTTATGAATTAAAATCCATAATACACACAGATGGTCTGAATGGACGTCTTTCTATATCCACAGAACTTAATTTTGAAAATTTGAGATTTACTGAAGAGCACTGTGTAAAATAAACCTCATTACATAGAGAACAGAACCAAAACCATTTGATCTAAGGTCTACAATTACTAAACAGATAGAATAAGGAGGAAAACAAATACCCTGGTACTATATATTTATTCGTAATATATTTAACATGATTTCTTATTTCAAACTGTCCACTTGACTTGAAGTTTAAAATATACACACAAATGTCCACATTACAAATCACCTTACTTATTGGGTAACAACATTTAAGCACATTCAAAGGACAAACACCACTCCCTGGTCAATAATCAGAGAATTTTAACAGTGGTCAATATAACAAGCAAATATTATTTCAACTGGAGTAAGTTAGTTTTTATTTCTAACCTTGATAAAAATGAAGTTAATCTTTTTAGCCCTTGAAGAACTTACTAGTAAAAGTCATGTGTAGTACTGACCTCGCAGTACTAACAAAGTTTCATAATAATCAACTTTTCCATTAAGGCCATTGAAGATTTTGTTGACCTCAACCTCCAAAATATTGTGCTCAATTCTATATATATAAAAAAAACAATTAAAAAGAAGCTTGAATCTTTACCTGCATTTTTGAAGAAATCAAAATGATCTAGAATTTCTGAAGAATCTAAAAACTGCCATAACATGAAATAATTGTCATCATCCTCGGAACTATTGGTGTTATTTATCTCCTCCTTGCCTTTAGGTTTGGACACAGAAAGACTTTCCAAAGTTTCCTTCTTGTCTTTCATGGAAAATATGTCGTTTTTGTACATTTTTTCTCTGAAGCACGCAAAAATTCAACTGCTTTCCCTCCAGAAACTTAATTCTCATCCATTGAGAAACTATGATTCTTCTAGCAACTTTGGATTTGTAGATCTGTATTTCAATGTTAGCATTGGTAATGTTGTATATAACTCACTCCTCAAATAATAATCAGATAAACCTAAGGTATATTTAAATTTCACATTTGTTGTCTATACACAGAGAAATAAATCTTCCTTCAAAATCTGATATGTCAATAAATTACATATCCAATATCACTCAGTACCAACCATGTTTGTCCGATATGGGGTGTATAGTTTTCAGATGAGGTACAAGTTTAAACAAAGGAGTCATGTAATACAAGTCCCATTCACATTTGCTACTGTGTTCCCTCTTTAAGAATGTTTGCTATCACAGGCAAGAAAAATATAAACTCCAATCATGCATGGAAAAAAAAATTAACATCGGAGACTGGCCGCATTTAATTGGAAAATTATCTTCCTTTGGGATGGTCGCAGTTATTCAATCTTATCACCTCTTTATGGAAAATTATTATCTCATTTCACTTTCAAATAAGAATTAATAAAACCTCACCAAGGCCACCAATGATCGAAAGCAGGTAATTTTATACCTCTGTTGATCAACTCCAAGTCGAAGAAAAAGTGGTCTTTAAAATTTTTCTTCCTCCAAAAACACACTGTAACGGTTTTGTCAATATGTAAAATAATCACTTACACAGGAAGAAAGTTTTTCAACTCCTGACAAATGATATGAAAATGGCACATAATGGATCAAACTAAAGGGTAATCAATAAAATCCACAAAGATAGTCTCCATAAAATACCAGTCTCCAGCATTTACTTTCTTATTAAAGTCTAATAAACATGAACGAACATAACACTTATGATTGGCCCTGGCACCCAAAAAATTCCCATTATTTCTTCTGCATGCACACCATGTAAAGCCAGAAAGGAAATTGGGAAAAAATCTTTTGTTAAGGTGATGGAAAAAAAAAGAGTTTTAGAGACCACACCACAACAACAAAGAAAATACCACTATTATGCTAATTGTTTTTATAAGTCTTAAAGAGCAAAAACAAGCTTTAGCATTAAATCCATGACGGTGGGTTTAATACACAAATCTCTCACAATCTTAATTCCGAATTAACAAACTCAAGGAAACAGACATAAGGTATGATTCATGTGCAAACAGTGCAAGGTCTTATAAATGGGATCCCCAATTTGTCTGGTTGGCAACTACATTTTTTACATCCATGAAGCCATAGTGAAAAAAAAAACTTAATCCAATTTTTAAAAGCTCTTAAATAGTCAATAAACTCGTATTTGACAACGGAAGATGACAAATATACTCTTTCTTAATTTTGCCGTCTTTGAATGCATTCAAGATAAAAAAATCTCTTTAATCATGCTCGACCGCTACCAGATTGAGATTGGTTTGTATACAAAGATACATACAATAGAAAGTGAATTTATCACTCAATACCACTAGATAATCACTATCTTGCTCGTAATGCAGACAATACCTCAACATAAAGCTGCCATTTAACACGTCCAAACAGAAATTTAAACCTCCCCATATGGTCAAAATCTGCCAATTTTGCTGTGTATACAGTACTTTATAACATAGATACATAAACTTTAATTTGAAATCTGTCAATACTTGGATAATTATCTTCTCCCCAAAAAAAACCTACACTGACATTAAAATGTCTGCTTTGACCTGCTGCGTATAATTGCCATGGCAACAGACCTCTTCGGACAGGGGAAGATAAGGCTTTAATAATTTATAAGCATTCAACTTTGGTGAAAATGTTATTCTTTGAAAAATGCTAGGACTTTTATTTCATTTATTAACTCAAATAAAAAAAAGAAGAAAATATTTTAAGTGATTCACTCAGATCAAGGCACCTTAATGAGAATCTTAAATTACTCATTATTAAATGAACTACAAACTTGTTTTTAATTATTTATGTCCTGCTCAAAGGTTTTCCTAGTAAGAGAGGCTAAAAAAAAGGGATTGCTCTAACTTCTACTTTGGTACACCATATCAAATTGAATGTCATATTGATCCAAAGTATGCTTTATGTTTGTTAGTTTATACAATTGCATTTTGAGAATATTTCACTCATTGACATATTGCGATACCACCAGTTATCCATGGAGGGCTGCAAATTTACACCTCTACTTTCCACTCAGAGCCATTGAGCAGTGCTAGCACCTACTGCGACATGGGAACTTCAATGGTTTTTACAGTCTAACCTGAAGGGTAATGCAGACTTCACATCCTGAAAGCGATTCAAACCAGCAATGCAAGGATCAATTCCTTCGTCCATGAATCTAAAGCAAATGCTCTAACCACTGACCATTTGAAGGATGAGGCAAAAGTACTGATCGATGCACATGTACATGATTAAAAAATAAAGCTGCATTAACTTCTGCATCTCTTGAATACCATGGAATTATGATGGTCTGAGTTTGGGATAAAAAAATAGCTTTCCTATATAAATGTATGTAACTTTACAATCAAAATCTGAATCTAGTAAAAAATCTCACTTTTTGGATCCATTGAGAAAATATTTGTAAAGAAGAATTATGACTTTGAATGTATTTGTTCTGTTGATAAATTGCATATGCAACAATAAAATGATAGAACCAGAAAGTAGTTACTACATGCACTTGGCCCTTTAGGCACTAGAGTTAATCCAGGAGCCTTGATTATTAGCCACTCAATAGTCTCCATGCACCTTTTAGGATTATTGATCATTAAAGCAGTATGGTTGGTTGCAATTGTCCTTGGATAGGTGCTCGCTGTACGTTTTTTTTTTTTTCTTTTTTTTTTTTTTTATTGGAAAGCACTTAATCTACATTTGCTTAGACCATTTATAGCTGTAAAGTGGCGCCAATCAAAGGCGATAGTGTATATCTATAGAACTTAAGAATTTTTTGAATTAATTAGAAGCTTTATAGCACCTTCCATTTATAGCTTTTGCGGCAAAAGAGGATTACATTTTAATTAATAACGAATCAGTGCATATTTTTATTTTTGTGCACTTAAACGTTTTGAAATTCATTGAATCATATTTTAGCCTCAATTTGATCTAAAGGTCCTACAAACTTAAGAGACATTTAATGAAATCTCAAAAAATGATTTTCTTTCATGTTCCATTTAAGATTTTATCTTCAATTACATTACATTGACCTGCTGTGTAATAATTTTAATGGATGTTTAAATAATTGATTAAAGATCAAGACATTAATATCCTTCAAATTTCTGATGAAAGTGTTTCTACAGTTTTAACAGTGTAGTTTTTTCATGATTAAGGAAATATGAAAATCTCTAATGACTTTGAGGAACTCTGCATTTTGAAATGACATGCATGAATTAAATGATGAAATAAGGGCTGAACACTAATGTTCGACACTTCAGCATGAAAAGCTAGCAGCATGGATGATGGGAACAGACTGACGTAATTCATAATATCAGACTTAGTCAATATTATATTATTTAAGGATGTACAATTTTATAAAAATCTTCATAGTATATTGCACAAATTGATTTTGATGGAACAAGAGAGATAACCCATTTTCTATGCCTTTAAAAGACCATGACAACACGTACTATACAAAGCCAAAAAAATACTAGGAAAATTATTATTGAAGCAAATTAGCATAATCTTTCAAAATTGTTTTATTATCAGCAACAGGGTTAACATGATAAATATACATGTATATATTTATAAAACATACGAGCTAGCTATAAGTGACATTTATGGAAAATTGAATTAAGGTAAATGAACTTTCTCTACCTTGCACATCATAATTCCTTTATTACTGGTATCAATTATCCACTTTATCCCAATATCTCACTTCCGTAATGACTCAGATAAATAGATAATATTAATCGATTACAGAGAATTCATTACCTAAGACTTTGAATTTAATCAATCATAGTAAAATATGTGTGTGTTCCAGCCTTGAACATGTTTCTTTAAAATATATTTTTACCTGAAACCAATTTTCACTGAATAGCTATTTATGCATTTGAACATTAACAGGTGTTTTATTAGGCTACCTCATGCCTTAATTTCATGAGTTTAACAAGGAATGAAATACCATTTGAAGACATAGCTATATTTAATTGTGCTGTTTGGATGTGGTACATATATTCCCACACTGACATTATACATGTATATCTATGCTAATATCTTGTTCTCATTATTACAGAGTACAGACTTTACAGCATGCACTTAAAGGTTATTGATGAATAAACTGCACACTTGAGAGCACTTTTGAACCTTATAATGATACCTACTGTGGTAATTAATACATGGTTAACCTCCTGCAACACAGGGCCTTGTTTATATACGGTCTCAACCAAAGAACCAGTACTATTAGTTACATAGTCTTTTAGTGACAGGGTATGGGATGATACCTGGTTAGTAAATTTCATACCTGGCGAGGCGGAGCCGAGTCAGGTATGAAATTTACTAACCAGGTATCATCCCATACCCTGTCACTAAAAGACTGTGTAACGAATTTACCCCACCGATGAAACATTTACGTTTTGTCTGTAGTTTATAAATGGTTTTCTTTGCTAAATGCTTCATCACGCTTATACTATGCCTATTATGACGTCACGTTTGTGTTTGTGACGTAATACATCGACCGGGTATAGATTCACAACTGACCGGGTATAGATTTACAACTGACTGGGTATAAGTAATCCACCATCTTCACGTGACAGACTTCAACCAATTGTAAGCCAGGAATTCACGGAAAAATCGACAGAGGTGGGGTAAATGTTCATTCACATGTCCTGCAGTGGGATTCTAACCCACAGCATAAGGATCAACTCTTTCTTTGCAACTTTAGAGCAAATGTACTCTAACCACTGCACCACACAGGGTGACCAGATTATGATTGGTATTTATTGTTGGCAACAGTATTAATCAATGCTCCCCTTATTAAACAAAAAATATATATTATTGATTTACACTACCAATAAAACTATTGTTCATGTTTTTATTTTACTGGAATTTGTATTATATCTATATATAATGATGCTTTACAATGTTGTGTATAATTGAGATGATAAAGATATATATATTCTAGGATATTTTCATGTTTAAAAAAGACTTGATATTATCATACTGAAACTTTCTTAAAGGTCTGACTAATTCCTTTAAGTTTTGCTAGAATGGTGAACTCACAGAAGTCTGTTGCTGAAAATGTCAGGCCTAACTTTAATGAAATTGCAACCCACATTCTTTGTTAGTTTGAGGAAAATACAAGTATTTTATGTACTTATGAATAACCATACTGGAAACAAAAGCTGCTTATCAGTAACCTTTTCTTGATTTGTGTCGACAATGTTGAAAATTGCTACATCAAACTAGCTGCTCTCAAATAAAGAATAAATACATCATATTCCATATTATACATAATATAAACATGTACTTTAGTAAAGTAGCAAAAATAGCTGCAATTTTCAATGTCTAGCTACCATGAGGGACATATTATCTAAAAGTGTGAATCCCAACCAACACACAGACAAAGTGAAGCTAGTAGGTCTCTTAAATTTTGCTAATCTGGTGACAAAAAAATTATCATGAAACATGATGTTTCTTTTCATTAATGAACAACTACAGCTAAAATGATTATGAGTTGATATCCAATAAAAAAAATTAAAAGTATGCATAAAGTGTTAATTAAATGAATTCATTCGTCAAAAAATTGGAAATTTAAAAGGAAAAAATGTCTTTCGTCATTAATTAATGTTTAAAGTGAAAAAAGTCAGTGAACATTTCTACTTATAAAAATGTCTAAATAAAATTACTGCTATGACCATCATGTGAAATTACAGGTGAAGACATGCATGGAACCTAGTGAACATGGTGTTTGCAGTCTAATATGAAACCATTTCATCATTGGTGAAGGTGAATTCTAACAAAGAAACCTTACCACTTAGATTTCCGTCTACACAACTCTTAATGCCGCTATCACAATTAACACCTGCACGTATATGATATGATCTTTCTTTATCCACCACTATAGCTGATTATACAAAAGCATGTAATATGTATTTTTAATTGTGATGATACCATGCAGTTATAGAACATGTATATGTAGATAATGACAACTTTCATGAACAACTGTGCAAGTATGATATTGGTTCTCAAAAGTACTTTTAGATTTGCAAGTGCACTACATGGATTGATGGGTAGCATGAATAATTTAGGATTCTTAGGTTATATTTGTGACAAATATTCTTTCTAAAAATGAATGGTAACTTATAATTGAACTTTGAATGGTAATATGAACTCATTATTTTTATTTTACTGTTGTTATTTATGTAAAAGGGCTGATCAGCCTGATATCTATTGAAAAACAATGTCCCATCTTATCCTTCTGTACAGATGTCATGAGGAGCACAACAGATGCCCATAGGAGCACCACTAAAAGAGCTAGGTATGGATCATTGGATTACATAGGACTCAAATAGCTACTAGACCACTAGTTAAATTTAACACGTTTTTTTTTATCCAGTGAAGTCACACTCTTTAAAAAACTTGTATTTTACAATGCCAAGAACTCTGAAAATACAAATTATGGAGGAAAATAAAACCAACAAAGAGTGGTTTAATTTCTCTCCATCTTCTCTTCTAGTGGAACAACAGTTCAGGGGAAGAGAAAGAAAAAGAGGTAGCTGATTTTTAAGAGTATTACATAAATCTTGGACGTACCATTTTTCTTGTCATCAAAGTCTGAGTCAGAATCGTCACTCTCGCTCCCACTGCCGCTACTTAACTGGTACCCATACGTCTTCTCCCACTCCGCATAGGAAGAGAAATTGTGTCGGAAGCCCTGATTCCTCCCTGAAACCCAAGCACAAACTTGTCACTAAGGAATGATTCTACAAAAACTTAATATGATAAAAAGTTACATCTTCAATAACATTGCCAGTGAAAAAATATTTTATTTATTTCTATATATGACATAATACTGTTGTTAATTAACCATTGGTATACACATATAATGCACTGAAAATAAACTTGTCAAGAGCATTTAGTGACCAAACAATTTGCATTTACAAAACAGTACATAGATCTACATATGATCCTGTGACCACTATATATTTTATGTAGTTTTTACGTAAAAAGCATATCATTGTAGGTCTTAGTATATGACTATATCTCAATATTATGACTTACCAAACTGTTGATTACATTGTATACTTAGAACAAAACACACTTTATATATTAGTGCAAATCAAACACTCTATACAATGACTGTACTTGCACACAAATACAACTACATGTAGTATATATATTATATTAAATTTAATATAGATTTCCAAAAAATTAACTACCAGTAGTAGAAAACTTTCTAAATCTTTGATCAATTTTGCTAAATGGATTGTATAATAATTTTCCATATTTGCACTACTTTCAACTTAATCAATAAAAAAAAAAACTAATATTTGGTACTACTATACACTAATAGATGAATGTAACCTTTCAGAATTTTTCTGGCCTCTAATCCAATACACAAATAAAACCAATTTGGGAACTTCTGGAGAGTGATCACTTTATAGCATGCTAGGAATGTATGAGGGAAAAAATACATTATAAAGTTTGAAGATATCATAAAAAGTAAATTATCACTTAAGAAATTACTGAAACATTTGAACTTATACCAATTTAAATAATAAATTACTAGTAAATCTAATGTGATACAAAAGGTAGGGCTGTATCAATATATCGATATATCGATACGTATCGAGAAAAATATCGTATCGAAAAATAACTTCCAATACGTATATAATTCTGTTAAAAAGATGGGAATTTCAACCACCAAAGATTATATTTCACACTTTTGAATTAAAACTGATCAATAAGTATATAATTTGTAAGGAAATAACAGTTTTTAAAATTATTACAAAATACAAAGAGAATTTTATTTGAACACATTGATTTTACTGTCATTAAAAGTTTTAATTTGAAGCATTATTTGTAAATGACAATGAGACAAGAACTTAAAAATGGGTAATAAAACACTTAACTGTTAGGAATTCATGCATTAAAATGATTAGAAGCCTTTTCTGATGGACTTGTTTTAGAATCCAATATATCGGATATCGCTTTAAGAAATATTGTATCGTATCGTATCGAAATTTTTGGCTCAATACACAGCCCTAACAAAAGGAGAAAAAAACTATGCAATATTTCTAGCTTAATGAGATGATATGTCTCAGCTGATTTCAAACCTCTAGTCTAGTGTCTAGCAAACAGGGCTGACTTATGTATAGACAATATTAGACATTTGACTAGATTTCTGTGTCTAGCATAGAGATGACAATGTATCTTTAGACAACATTAGACATATGACTAGAGACCTGTGTCTAGCATATAGAGATGACTATGTATAGACAACATTAGACATATATATGACTTAGAATCTGTGTCTGACATATACAGAGCTGACAATGTATGGACAACATTAGACATATGACTAGACTTCTGTGTCTAGCATACAGAGCTGACATTAGACATATGACTATAGACACCTGCATCTGGCATACATAGCTGACTATGTATAACATTAGACATATGACTAATAGAGACCTGTGAGGAGACTGAAATCTTCCTCATACTCCTCGCTTTCAAACCATGACCCCTCTTGACCTTCATCTTGGTCATCCTTACTCTTGTCTGAATCAGCTGACTTTGTGGGACGGGAAGATTCATTTATAGCAAAAAGCTGACGATTGCGGGCTGTAAACATTTATGTTTAAATCTATTTTAACAAATAATCTTTCACTCTAAGCTTATGTGTGCAGGTTTGCACTGTTAATACAACTAAAAGTGTTTAATAATGTTGTTACTTAAACAGCATTTTTCCACTCCTAAATCCAATATTGATACAAACTTTTGTTAAAAGACTTGAATTTATATTGATCAGTGCCAAATTACCAACAGACATGCATATTTTTCAATATTTAAAGTGGCACAAAGGAGAGCATAATTTATTTCAGTTCTTTGTTGTTTTCATTTAAACCTATCTGCATGACATCAAGAAATTTAAAAATCCCTTTGGAAGAAAAATTGTACAACAAATAACTCTTATGCAAAAGTTGGGAAAAAATTATAAACATGCAATTTACTTAAAAGAACCAATTACGCATTACCTAGGACCCATCTAAACAGAAATATATTCACAGAAGCACTGACACACAGTGTTAATTTAAGTTCTATTAACTAAAACAGTCTTCAACAGTTGAAACACAAACAACTTTTAAGTACATTTAGTAAATTCATTTTTTTCATCCATTCATCAGCACACATGACACCATTACTGGATTTTCATCCTTTTAGTTTTCAGTTATCTACTGTATGAACCAGTATTTATTTTGTATCAATTTTTACTTCAACTTATTGGGTACTAGCCTGATCTTTTATTAGTTAGATTCCGGTTGACACATACCCATACAGAAAAAACTAATAGAAACTTATAAGTGTTTTATAATCCACTTATTAGCAACTTATAAATCACTTATAAATTCTGAAATTTACTTATAAGTGTACTATAATTCAAAGTAAGTATAAGTGAGGAACGGATTTCGTTAATACTTCAATTATAAGTAAAGATGAGCTACATATCAGTGAATATTTCACTTATACCTCACTTATAAGTGAAGATCAGTATGGTATGAGTGAAGTATAAGTGTGAACTTAGAATTTTTACCCTATACTAGACTTCTCTCAAGGAGCATTATGGGTATTCAAGGTAGCCAATCAGAAAGTTTGTCTCTGCAGAGATCAGCAACAAGAATTTGTAACCAAGTTTGTGTCTGTGAAAGGATGTTGGAGATTTTAGATTTATTTTGAGTATGCCTTCACATCAGGTACAACAAGTAGGTTCTATTTAAATCATCTCTCTATTTTAACTTCTTTTGCCTGAAATTTTGAATCAATTGACTCAGTTGCTTTCAGATTTCATAAATTTGAAGAAGCCTCAAGGTCATTAAATCTTGTTGCCTTTTTGTTCAACATTTTTGTTTGTAAACTGAATTAATATGTTAAAATTGCATCATCAAAAAATGTCATATGAAAGTGATTTTTTTCCATAAAATTTTTACTTGATTATTTCATCTAAAGTGCAGATACATGTGTATATGTAAAAAAAAAATAGCTTTGAACATATCATGCAACCCCTGCATGGTTGGAAGTTCTGTTCTAAATTAAGATCTTACAGGTAGTGTTGTACTTCACTTATAAGTCACTTATAGTCACTTATAAGTGACTAATACTTGATAAAGTATGAAAGGTTAATGCTTGACTTATTAGTCACTTATAAGTGACTATACTTGCATAAAGCCTAAGTGGCTAATACTGGCTTATAAGTCACTTATAGGTAGCTCATTTGCATATAAAATCCTAATGAGTAACATATTAGTCACTTATAAGTTAAATGTATCAGTGAAGTGTAAGTCCAGAATAAACAACTTATAAGTAAAAGAATAAATCACTTATAAGTCACTTACCAGAAATTTCTGTAAGGGTAATTATAAAATCTCTTCCAAGATAGATAAATTGGCAAATTCTTCTTGAAGACTCAAATACCTACTGTTTCGATGATGGCCATATAATTGCTGATTCATTAACTTCCAAAAATAATAGAAAACTATATTTATCATGTACTGAATAATTAAACATTATACAAACAGTTAATTAGTCAGATCACAGCACTTCAGTCTAATTAATTACATGTAGAGCACAAGTCTCTATGACATTCTCTACATACCAAAGATAGATACATCTATGGGTCGAAAAGACAAGTCCACCTCCCAGAAATTACTGGGATCCTCCTCTTGATAAATAGGCCCCTTAATCCTGGATCTCGCAGACTGAGACGTTCTCGGCCGAGATATCATTTTCTCTGAGTCCAACTTCATTGAATTACATAAAATCCCACTCTATGTGTATCCAAATCCAGTATTTCATTAAAATCCTTTAGGAAGCAAAATTATCGACACAATGAAACACAATCTTGAGATCGAGTGATTTCTAATTTGCGATAAATAAGTAATACACTGCCGACAAATGATTTTTCCTATTTGGTGCCTATAATTCCTTCTGCTACATTCAGTTTGTTCACATCTCGTGAAGGGCGACTTTCAATGAACACAAATCAACAGACCTGACAACCAATATAAACTTCATCAATAATGCCATTTTACGATGGTTTTAAGAGCAAATTTTAAAATCCATACACAAGTTCACATAAATCAATTGGACTACTCCTTAGTTCCTTTTAGATTGGATACATGTTTTATTGCCCGTTTTACGTCCTAACAATGCACTTAAATATCCAATCCGGCATACTTATTATGAGCACTCCTCAGTCTTAAAAACTGCTTATAAGGTAACCGATTATGCACTAGTCCTTATCTTTATATGTCTGACTACCATAGATCCTTGCAGGTGAAAAAAAATTCAAAATCCTATCCAATCAAGTTCACTGAGACTTAAACGCTTTTCAAACCCTCTCCCGTTTTGCAAATGGTTGTGCGCCCTAGCCCTGCCACGTTAGTCTATTACTCAGAGTGGTTGACAAGATAGATTGATGCCCCCTCTTACTTGGCACCGTTGCCTGGAAAGAACTGCTCACAATTGTATAATCTATCACATAGTATTTTTGTAAGCCTTTCTTTATTAATTAAAGGGCTACTCAACAGGTTCCCGGGGAACAATAGGGCTATATTCTTTATGCCATGCGCACCATTTAAAATTCTGCATTGTTGCGATCCTGATTAATAAAAGAGCATATCTGGACCATATCAAAAATACTGGTTTTAGTATTGTGCCAAACATAAATAGGTATTGAGTTAAGGAATTATTAGTTTAAACCCTAGCAGTTCTAGAACTTTGCGGTCGATCTTCTCTTTTAACTGTGGTCCAAATTCCAACACTGAAGTACACAGAACAGTCGAGATTAAAATCAAATTATACACTAGGCCACTTTTCTTCACTTTCTTTAATGCTAAAACCATGTTCACTTGGACTACGGCAAGAAATTTTGAGATTATAGCCTTGCAATTTGAATGGGATATTACATTTACTATTGCAGTTTGACAACTGTCAAATCATATGATATATTATATAGCTTCATGATCTCATATGTAATCTACCATTGCACTGCATCCATGCAGGTTTGGTTTTGTTATTATGAAAAATTAAAATTCATTAATTCTTCATAATCAAAATCACTTTTCTCTGTGATGATCGGAATTTTTTTGTTTTCCATTGCTGTACCTGCTTATTAATCAATTTATGTTTGTGTTACTTAATTTTTCAAAGTGTTGTCTACCTTAAGTTTAGAAAAACAGCTCCTCCTAAGTCAATTTGAGTAAACAGCCTGCATTTAAATTAAATTGAGTAATTATGTGTAAAAATTAAACTATGTAGTTATAAACTGCATACCAAAATGTCAATAAAAAATCTGTAAATTTATATGCTCCAATTTCATGAGTAGAACATGTAATCATTAAGAATTTTATGAGAAAATGTAATTACATCTCTTCTAGAGTTGCACTGCATCTAATTTAAAATGTGTTTAAAAAGACCTCTGTGTTTAATATGAATAATTACTTCAAAAGGACCTGCTCTCAAAGTCTGCAATAATTGTCAAAAAATAAAAATAAAATTGAATTCTCAACTTCTATGCACCATTTTAAAAAGTGGTACCAATTAATGAATATAATGTACCTAAGTACAAGTAGAGTAAGAGGAATTTTAAAACAGCTGACAGCATCAACTATTAAAGTTCAAACTAAAAGAAAATGAATAGAAAGCAATTTGTCACATCTAAGCAAAAGGTTTAAAGTTTATTTATAATGTTCCTACAAATACTGGTAGTATAAATTGCATATCTTCTTTAGGCTAGACTTAACAACTGCGAAGCAATGTAATCCTTAAAAGATCACAATAGTCGAGTTTGTTTGAAATTCTTCAGTTGATATGAATTGATATGGAGGGAAATACTTTGTAGATCTACGAACAAGAAGAAACCTTATAAACACTCCAAATAAAACAAACATCCCCCAAATACAGGAGGAGCAATCCAATATATTCTATGTAAATAGTTTTTGAAATTTTTCTGATAGGAACCGACTGAATTGAATGAATTGAGAGACCTTCCACGGGCTTTTATTGATTAAATATGTATATATATTTAAAGAACAAATTGATCACTTAAAAGCAGTTTTCTTTTCTAAATAATTTCACACATATTTGCTAATATGGCACACGTTTAGCTAGTTTCTAGCAAAGACTAGAATCCCTGAACATTTGTACCATTTACTCTAATGTTACCATGTCCTTGATCAAAAAACTGTCTTAATTATTTCCATTTTAAAAATTGGATGATGACATTTTGTGCCCCATCCGATAAGAAAGCAAGTGGATCATTTATAAGTATGATAAGGGGACAACTATTTCATTCTGAAGGAGAAAGGAGGGACTGGCGGACTTGAAAGTAAATAATCTGTCCTCAACTGGCAACAAAATAAAAAATCTGTCCTCAACCGACAATAAAATAAATAACCTGTCCTTATTTGAAGATATACCCCCCCCCCAAAAAAAACACACACACACACACAACCACATAATAAAATAGAGGTTCAGAGTTTTCTTTTATTAGCTCACCTGAGCCGAAGGCTTGAGCTTTTATTTTTTAGTCGTTGTCGTAAACTTTTCACATTTTCTTTCTTTCAAGAACCGCAGCCAATTTCAACCAAACTTGCCACAAAGTATCCTTGGGTGAAGGGGAAAAAATGAAGGGCCACGCCCTCATTCAAGGGGAGATAATTGGGAATTAATGAAAATTTAGTGGCATATTTTAAAAATCTTCTCAAGAACCACTGTGCCAGGAAAGATGAAACTTTGGAAACACATTTAAGTTTGTTCAAATCATGATAGGGCGGGGCCAAAATGGCCGACCTAACTTTTACATAGAAATATATAGGAAAATTCTTTAAAAATCTTCTTCTCAAGAATGACAAAGCCATAATTCATCATATTTATATGGAAGCATGTTCAGGTAGTGTAGATTCAAGTTTGTTCAAATCATCACCCCCCGGGGTAGGGCGGGGTCAAAATGGCCGACCAAAGTTTTACATAGAAATATATAGGAAAATTCTTTAAAAATCTTCTTCCCAAGAATGACAAAGCTATAATTCATCATATTTATATGGAAGCATGTTCAGGTAGTGTAGATTCAAGTTTGTTCAAATCATGACCCCCGGGGGTAGAGCGGGGCCAAAATGGCCGACCAAAGTTTTACATAGAAATATATAGGAAAATTCTTTAAACATAAGAATGACAAAGCCATAATTCATCATATTTGCATGGAAGCATGCTCAAGTAGTGTAGATTCAAATTTGTTCAAATCCTGACCCCCCGGGTTAGGGCGGGGCCAAAATGGCCGACCAAAGTTTTTAGAGATATATATAGGAAAATTCTTTAAAAATCATTTTCTAAAAAATAGCAAATCCATGATTGGTCATGGTACTACTTTTGGATTTAAACTTTACAGTAAAAAGCCATTTTCTACTTTTTCCTACCCTTAGTGCTCAGGTGAGCGATGTGGCCCATGGGCCTCTTGTTTTTTGCTTGTCATTCTTTTTTTCAGTGAAGAAAAAAATATACGTCCTTGCATGATCATTTGGAAACAAATAATCTGTTCTTCATCAACATGAAAATAAATAACCTGACTCAGAAAAAATTTGTAACCACCCCCATTCCCATCAGAATAAAATGGTTCTCCCCTTACTCACTGGATATCAAGGAGACCGAACTATATGAGTAAAGAACTAATTCACATAACAAGTGCTTCAAAGGCATTTTGAAATAATATCTATAAGGTTTTATCTCATGCATATAAAACTGATGAATGGCTCAAAAACCTATAGTTATTAAGTCTCACTTCACTTGAAATTCAGTCTATGAACTCTTTAATTATAATAATTAACTCCTGATGAACACTGAGTAGTGTGTAGATCAATTGATTTTGGGCATGTTATATACAAATCAATAAGATATGTATAACATTTTGGCAAGCAGGCAAACCCAAGAATATAAAACATTCATATACTAGTAAGTCAAATGCATGATTACAATTATGTAACAATTTACAAATTTGAGTCCTAGCCATGTAAGATAAAAAAAAAAAAATCCCATTGCACTGAACCAACTTTTGTTCGATTAGAACTAAGTAATCATACCCACTGGCTATACTTAACACATAAATACATGAATAAATTGTTTCTAATTCATTTCAAATCAAAGGAGGTATTTTAGATAACCATTTATAAACAAAGATTTTTATTGTGGGTTTGCATGGGTTTACTATAAAAGAAATCTAAATTGTTTCATAGGTCAAGGTCTTGAGGTAAAAAAAATTGGTGGCTACAGGAATAAGCATATGAAATATGAAAGTTCTAACACCAACATGCAGAAGTTTTTGCCAAGGAAAAAGTTTTCTTTACAATTATGTCAAAGTATATCAAGGTCAAAAGAATTATAATAACATAGTACTCAGAGAGACAATATGCACCCATGAAATACAAAAAACTCTAGCCTCGGTTGACAATGGTTTTTTTGGGGGGGAGGGGTGTAAAAATTATCAGTGTTACATGCAATCAACTACATGCAATATTTAATATATTTAAATATGCAATGCGAAACATTCAAACAACTTTCTGTGTTGCAGTTTACCGAGACTTCAAATTCACTGCACAAGAAAATGATTGGATGGCATTTACATGTATAACCAATAATTTACAAAAATGTTGGATGGTCTTTCATAAATATTATAAGCCCCAGTACGCACCTAAAATACATGTATTTGAAATATTGAAAACATGCAATTGGAGATATTTTTTCTAAATAATGAAAAATTATCAATGTTACCATGCATATCCTGGAAATTTCTATGTAACTTTTCCAAGTACATGCTGATTTAGGAATCAGAATGAAACAATTTATTATTCAAAGTGCATGCATGCGATCATTTCTAAGAGTGAATGAGTGAAAAGATTGGTGATTCACTAAACATGGAGTTCAATGCCAAAAATTCTACAATAAGAAAAAGCAAAATTTGTGAAGAAAAAAAAAAACAATGAAAATTTGTTAGTTCTCTCAGCCTTACTCACATTTGTCAATTTCAGTTTGAGCTAGAAGGAGGGAGAAAAATAATAACATCAAATACTTAAAGAGAGATAACTCTTTCCAGATTGATTTTTAAAAATTATCGGAAGCGTGCAAGGGTGCAGCCACTTTACATTGTTTGTTTTTTAAATTAACAAGTGCCTTTAATAACCCATTTAAATCTTTGTTGAACTGTGGCGCCACAAGTATTGGTTTCGCTATTTGGGTATTTGAATTAAACATCAGTGAATCTACAACTCAGTAGCCATTGTTGGTTTGTTTACCTATATAACAATGACTGCCTAATTGACAAATTAATGGCCTCTTTACAAAATATCAGACAAAGTCGACAAAAATATTGACTTCATTGACTGGAAACTTTGCATTTATGCTTAAATTTTCCCACTTCACATCATATATTTAATATTTAATATCCTTAATTGCAGAATAAAAACATGCATTAAAAGGAAATACATGGATTCCGAAATAATTCTAATCAAAGTACTTGCAGAAAGAAATAATTATTTTATAAGACATCTTTTCTTCTTCTGGGAAATTACAAACGAAACGTTCACAACTCACATATTTTTTTTTTTTTTAAATTGAAACCAGGATATTGCTTTCCAAATTTAATGAATTCAATATCAATCCTTTCATATTTTGGAAAATGTAAAATATGTTACAAAAAAAATAATGCATTACCATATCTTTTAAAATTCCATTTAATGAATTTTTAATGCTTAAAAGTGCTCTGGAACTTTTTTCACAGTCCTCAGACTGACTTTCGTACCCCCCCCCCCCTTTATTCACTTGTCCCAACAGTGGCTATATATAATTGCAACAGAGACTGGATGCATGCAATCAGATTGAAAAAGCTATATTAAAAAGACAAAAACTTATGCTTATAGACTTAACTTTGAATTTCAACAATCTAAAATATAAATATTTAAGACTTGTCAATTTGGTGAAAATTTTACCAGTGTAGTTGACAATAAGCAACTACCATTACTGTATGTTGCAACTTTCTTAAGTTTAGGGTATATATACATGTTTATTTTAGTAATCATTCAGCCCACATCTCTGTGAATCACCATCTGAGGAGACTGATCGAGGTTTAAAAAAAATTTACCAAGGATTTTCAAAATTGCCATCAGGGATATATATATTCATGATTCTGGTATATTTATAACCAAGTTATTTTTAAATAAGCTGATATCTGCATATATGCATAATCTGTTTTTTCCCAAAGCAATTTTATCAGATTCATTGGAAGTCTTGTCAGTTTGTATGAATTAAAAACATGAAGTGATTTTTAAGGTAATAAATGAATATAATTTTGCATGAAAAGACACTGTAAATCAAAATTGCCTTTAAGAGTGTACATCAATACATGTATGATTGATGTGGATATATATATATTTAATCAGTTAATAACTTACTTATAAATCATAAAGGGTAAAGAAAATAAGAAATTAATGTAAGATTTGCTGTTGATTATTTTAATCATGCATTTAGAACCTGATATATATATTTAGAAGTACCTGTATAGTATCCATAATGTTCCAAATGCTTGCGCATAAAACTGTCATATGGATTCTGTAATGAAAAAAAGTAAAAATTTATTATACTATTTACACGTATGTAAATTTTGCCACTTTAACTCCTTTAAATAGACATTTTGCAAAAGCAATTAAGTGTAAAAAAAAATGCTAAGAAGAGTATGAAAAGATTCTTGTTTAAGGAGAGTTCTCTTTCAAGAGAAAGGGTATGCTTCATTATAAAAAATACATGTACGACATTGATTCACACACGCCAGTCACACGTTCTGTAACCTGATTCTGTTACATTCAAAGGTTGTCCAAGTATATATATATATAGGACCTAGGGACTGAGGAATTTCCCTGTCTAAAATGATGTAATCCCCCAGTTATTCTTGTATTTCCCCTTTAACCCAGGCTGTTAGAAGAATTCGCAGACCCCTTTCTCCTCTTTAATGACCCCTAGCTGATATTTCAATTCTTACCCATACCGAAAAAAGTTATAACTAAGTTATAATTAAAGTATAACTTAGTTATACCTAGGCTCTGAGGTACAAAAAAGTTATAACTAAAATGTAACTTTTTTGGACTTTGTCATTTTCATGTATAACTAAAATATAACTTTTCGGACATAGCCATTTTCATGTGTAACTAAAACATAACTTTTCTGGACTTTGTCATTTTCATGTATAACTAAAATGTAACTTTTTGGACTTAGCCATTTTCATGTATAACTAAAACATAACTTTTCTGGACTTTGTCATTTTCATGAATAACTAAAATGTAACTTTTCTGAACTTAGCCATTTTCAAGCATAACCAGTATAAATGTACAAGTTTTTGACACATTACTTTTTTTTTTCAAAAATAACATAAGTATTAATTTGAATGAATTTTGATAATGTTCAAAATGTTGTTTGTTTTTTTTTTAAACACATATTGCAGCAGAAAACTTTGTCAATTCCTAATGCTAATCAGAGGGAAAATTCAGTAGGAATATATATATATTATTATTATATAGATATTTTTTTCAAGAAAAAAAAAAAGGGACTGCCAGGGCTCTTAGACAATATTAATTATTATTGTTTACTACCAATGATTGATTTCTCATTCTTAATAAATATGCTGTCCACAGTCATGTCAAGTTCAACAGAAGGGATGTGAAATAAAATCTTGTAAATTACATCTATAAATGAGAATCTCTCTCTCTCTCTCTCTCTCTCTCTCTCTCTCTCTCTCTCTCTGTCTGTCTGTGTGGTGTGAGGTGTGAGGGTGTTTGTAGTGTGTATGTGTAATAAATATTATTGTCTATATTAAATTATATTTGTCATGTAAGATTCAACTAAATTTGGGAAAAATTTTATCTCTCTCTCTCTCTCTCTCTCTCAGAAAATACGTATTTATTGAGACCCTGATGAAACTTAATATTTGTCTTGTAAATTATAATAATGCATGTACATATGAAGTTGGGAATAAATTCCATCATTCTGGGGAAATATAAATGCCCTGCAAGAGATATAAACAGTAAAATGTAATCTCATGAAGTCATGTGAATTTTGCACGGATTTTTCTTAGTGTGCAAAACTGTGTAAATTTCCCTATTGTTTACTGTGAACCAGGTGTTTGTACTAGGTGACCTTTGTGGTAAACAATTCGTAAATTTCAGCTATGTGTATTATGCAATGGTACAATTCTACACAGGTTGTAGTCGTAATCAGTCGTAATATGGGTGGCTAGAAAGATAAACAACAAGTATGTGCATGTTCATTTTAAACAGATATTACGATGTTGGAAATAAAGACTGCCAGTTATGTTAACATTTAAGCGGAGGACTAGTACATGTAGATTTTATTGTTTGCATAATTAAATAACCCAGTTACAATAGTTATTTTCACAAATAAACAAATATTAAATTCAAAATGGCGGCGACGAAAAATATGGCGGCCCCCGATGTCCGTTTTGTTGATAGAATAAATTCAAAATTTTAACACCAACTGGTACTTTAATATTCAAATTATGTTTTAAATTGCACAATTATGATTATTTGGATTTAAAATAAATTAATTATGAATTATTTATTTAATTTTTTCCTATCACGTGACGTTTTTGAGGTCTATGATTGGTCAACAACAGAGCGCGGATTTTTTCATGGACGATTTGAATGTTGTGATGTTGAAAGTGTTGATAGAAAATAAGGAGAGAAAACCAGTTGGTAAGGCGATATTTATGCTGACATTTTAATGATTTTGGTAAAGAATACTTAGTACCACTCGAAGTACATTCCAAAAAGAAGAAATATTGGGAATGAACAAAATTCTATGCGTGTGAATCTTGTATTTCTTGTTTGTTTTGATTGGTACATCGAATGACAAAAACTGAAGCAAAGAGATTGAAAGTATTTGAAACATATTTTTCAGCATTTAGTATAATATTGATAAAATATGTTGTTCTTTGTCACATCTATTCCCAAAATTGTTTAATTTTAGATTCCCTGAACTGTTATAATAATGTGAAGCCTTTAATATAAACATCGACATGAACATGATGATCATAACATGATCTATAGCTGCAACTGCAACGTTAATGTAATGAAAATGAGTAATTTAAGATTAATTTTCTAATTTTTGTTTTTATTAAAGCAGCACTTTCTGGTATATGATTTTTCCATGAGCATCTCTGACTTATGTGCTGACCTGAAGTGAAATTCTTCAAAAAATAATATGCATGTGCTTAAGGTAAGTATATATTTTTTTCATTTCAAAATTCAATAAATCTATCAATCTAAAACTAATTTCTGTAAGTATAGATCTTTTATTAGTCTTGTTTTCCTTGTTATGGATGAATTAATGAATTTGAATGAATTGATATGAAAGAGTGGTTTCAATTTGATATTCAGATGAGTGCTGGAAATATCTAAATTTTGAACCTTAACAATTTTTTGCAGAATTGAAGAAAAATGATTTGAAGGTTGAAATTGCAAGCATATTTCAACGAAAACTTTGACGACTCCTAGTCACACTGCCTGCCAGCCAAGACGTATGCCCAGAGCTTGGTCCCTAAATGAGGGGTGCAGACCACCTGCCAAGACCCTCGGCCACCTCGTCTGACTACCAATGCGGCCTGTCCAGGGATGACCAAGTATATCAACTAGCTCGGCTGGCTACCAGTGCGGCCTGTCAAGGGATGACCAAGTTCATCGACTAGTTCGGCTGACTACCAGTGGGGCTTGTCAAGTTCTTCAACTATCTTGGCATATTACCAGTGCGCCTGCGGCCTGTCATTGAACGACCAACTAGATTGGCTTACTACCAGCTTTTCAAGGGACAGTCAAGTCCGTCAACTAACTTGACCTACTACCAGTGCAACCTGTCAAGGGATGGCCAAGTCCGTCAACTAACTTGACCCCCTACCAGTGCGGCCTTTCAGGTCTGTCAACTAGTTTGGCTTACTACCAGTGCAGCTTGTCAAGGGACGGTTAAGACTGTTGACTAACTTCGCCTACTACCAGTCCGACCTGTCAAGGGATGGCCAAGTCCGTCAACTATCTTGACCAACTACCAGTGCAGACTGTCAAGGGATGGCCAAGTCCTTCAACTAACTTGGCCTACTACAAGTGCGGCATGTCAAGGGATGGCTAAGTCTGTCAACTCACTCAGCCTACTTCCAGTGCAGCCTATCTTCAAATAGTAAAGATAAAAACCACAACTGTATACCTGCAAGGATACCTGTGCAAGGACTGGGGTGGTATGCAGCTAAGAACTGTAACGGAAATCACTGTTTAGAACCTTTCTCATTTTTGAAGTATAGCTAGATCATGAATAAATAGGGTGTTGATATTTAAAAAGTTATGTCTATACAAATTAGCAAGAGTAGAATGCAGTATGCTTGGTAATTGTACAAAGACCCTAATTGCTATATGATAAAAATGTATTCTATAAAACAACTAGAGAAATTTCAATCTGTTGAAGATGACATGATGAAAAATAAGGTAGACTTGAAAACATGCATGTGTATTTGACAATGAGCCAAGCTATCTTTATCATGTTTATTATTGTAAATTGTAATTAAGTAAATCCACAACAGGTTAACATAAAGTGCATAATTTCACTGGAACTTTTACAAAAGTTTTTATTAATAGGTATAACTTTTTATGGTTATAACTTTTTGTAGTTATAACTTTTTTTAGGTATAACTTTTCTGTAACTTTTTCATAATTTTCTTTGGGTATAACTTTTTTGTAACTTTTTCATAACTTTATAATAGGTATAACTTTTTTTAGTTATAACTTTTCATAGGTATAACTTTTTTCGGGTATAACTTTTTTGTAACTTTTTCATAACTTTATACTAGGTATAACTTTTTTTAGTTATAACTTTTCCTGGGTATAACTTTTTTCGGGTATAACTTTTTTGTAACTTTTTCATAACTTTTTTCGGGTATAACTTTTTTGTAACTTTTTCATAACTTTATACTAGGTATAACTTTTTTTAGTTATAACTTTTCCTGGGTATAACTTTTTTCGGGTATAACTTTTTTGTAACTTTTTCATAACTTTTTTCGGGTACAACTTTTTTGTAACTTTTCCACTGTTTATTTGGGTATAACTAAAGTATAACTTTGTAACTTTTTTATAACTTTTTGTGTAACTTTTAATAAGTATAACTTTCTGTAGTTATAACTTTTTTGTAACTTTGATGCACTTGCTGTATTTATGTTGAATAAAAGATGAAAAGTTATACAAAAGTTATAACTTTTTTGTAACTAAGTTATCACTAAATTATACCTCACTTAAAACATGCGGTTCCAAACTCCGATAACTTAGTTATAACTTTTTTGTAACTTTTTTTAGTTACAAAAGTTATAATTAAGTTATAACTTTTTTCGGTATGGGTAGGGATAATCCTGATGGATGAATATAATTATGGTTTGTTTGCAAATGATTTTAAATGAAACATGATAAATTTTTGTGAAGATCATCCACAATTTTAAATATCAGCACAATCATTTTGCTCTTACTAAGAAGACTTCTATATATTTGTATCTAAAAAAATTATTTACCAGCCTTGTAAAACAACTCTATATTTGACTTAATTGTTTCTTTTTCAAAAACTTCAAAAACATTTATGTGTTCCTAATACTCAAAAGTTTGAACTTTAAAGATTGTGTATATCCCTGCATAGTCTCTATGTGGGATAGTGTTTCATGAAAATAAGTGTTATCTTTGAAAAGAAGGTTTAAAGGTATGTAAACGTGGCTTAATATTGACAATGCCGTCAAGGTAAAATCTTCAAACTCAAGTCTTAAAGCCAGACAAGTAGGAGAAAATCACAATTCTCATATTTCCAGTTCTATTCATGATCACATTCATGTAGCTAAAATAAATTTATTCAGTGCAAGAACACAAACTATACAATTTCTAATAGTCAGTGATTATCATTTGCATTTCAAAAAGGAAATGAAAGAAGAGAATTAATGTATACTAGCTTTCAAAGATGATAGATATTTTCCAATTTAAATTTTTTTTTTCAAAGCACTGTCTCATTTCTTTTACATATATAACTATTGGATTTAAGAATTATCTTTTTGATTGTCAGCATCCCATCCCATCTTTCTATCCTTTTCTCTCTCCCTCTCTTAATTCACCTTTGCTCCTAATCCCTCTTTTCTCTTTCTTTCTTTCTCTGAGCAATTGTTCATTGATGTCAAATATTATACATCATTACATTTACGGTATGTGTAAGATGGTTACTTAGAAACCAGAACTAGGCAAACTCTTCTGCTTGTAAAGTAGAACTTGTAGTTGTTTTTTCCCAACACCTATAAACTACACATTAAATTCTACTTGTCATTATGATTATTTTCAAAATTATTTAATTAGTAATAATTACATCAGAGTTCAATGTGAAGACAGGGGGTTAAAATAAATAATAGATTGTGAATGTCACATAATGTTATTATTTATTTAGATAAGGAATGAATATCTATAATAAATCCATCTTGATTTACTATGGTATACTATATTACGTATTTTATTTAAAAACCTTTGTATATTACGTATTCATAAGCATGATAAGTTGAAAGGACAAAAACACCTGTACAATGTAACAAAATTAAGACCTTTTGAACCATTATCTCCAACATATCTGAATTGCTTTGCCTCTTGTACGAGATAACACTAGCATTTACCAGTATTATAGATTAAATAGTCAATAGTCAATCAATGGCATAGCTTACGAGAGCTGTAACGGTGGTTTAAGAAATGTCTGAAGAAATATTTGCTCTAGACTTGACTTTTAATTTTTTGTATCTCAGTATGCATTTTGTTTTTAGAGATTTCTGGCACCTTGATATCAGAATAATGTAGGGATAATGTTGTATTTATGATTTTGTCAATTCATAATTTTTAAGTTGGCTTTTTTAAAGTGCATACTATAATGAAATTGACAGAACATTTTCATGGCTTTCTGTGTGAACATTTCCTCTACACATTATTTGTCTTAAACTTTAAAATGTTTTAAACGCAAATAATGTTTGGACTATCCCCAACTTTTTGACTTACCAGATCAAACTGAAATTCACTGTCAGAATTCCACATGGTAAATCTATTGGCATATTTTCATAACAGCTGAACGATTCCACATGCAGTAGCCATATCTTTATCAATGGGAAACCAAAGAAAATACTAGACCTGTACTAATTAAAACTGCCATTCTGATTAAACTCACTAAACTGAGCTTTTCCTAAGATCATTAAAATCGAAAAATGTTTGTCGCAGACACATTTCTGATTATCCCTTCCTTACATTGAAATTCTTAATCAGTTGAAATAATACATAGTGCGATTTCTAATACTTCTCGATTTAAATCCCCGCTAAATGCTATTTTGATTATCAAGCGCTAACGTGCTTTATTTTGGACCAAGGACTATTTACAACTAAAGATGCCATCATGCGCAAGAAAGTAAACCCGTAAAAACATCAGTAAGCTTAATCTTAATCATTAACATATGCCTTTTCCCAGAAAAAGATTTTGATTGAAAATACTGCATTACACATGTATGATTAAATTTTATACAAATTGCTTTGAATAAGTTGTATAAATATCTAAATAATTCATCCGCTGCAGACGACGTTGTCATGCAGAAACCCGCAGTAAATTTAACGCTGTTGATGAAATTGCATGAAATTATTGAAGAATATTGCTATTATTGCTTGTATGTGAATTATGAACTAATTTCTAAATTTCTCTTCTCAAATTTTTATAGTAAACAAATGCGCACCTGTCGCAAAATCTTTCTTTTCCGGTTGGACGCCATATTTGATAGGAGTTCAACATGGTATGAGATAAAAAACATTGACGTTTATCTGCATTTTTGTCAACAAAACATGATTAAAACATATTGACATTAAATAAAATTATCAAACAAGCTATGATTTTAGAAGATTGCTCATGGATGACGAGAAAAAAGGCGTTTTTATTCAATGTTTATATGATGTTCGAATTTCCTCGAAGAAATGTATATTGCAGTAGTCCTAATGAATGTTTCGTTGAACCGTTTCAGGGTGCCCATAAAAGTTACAGAACCAAAATGCGGTTAGCCAAGAAACAGAAACAAAATCGTCCAGTCCCCCAGTGGGTTCGAATGAAAACTGGAAACACTATCAGGTACTTGTCATACGACATGACATGCAGCATTACAGACTACAATTTGTTTTATGTACAAATTATTTAATCTAACAATGAATCAAAGAGTGTTTTTAAAATCCAAATTGCACCACCCTTTTAATAACAGAGAAAGAGAGTAATATGGATAGGAACCCCCCCCCCTGAAAGTTAAAGATGCTGTGTTTCAATGAATTGGTTCAAAATATCTTACATTTTCCAGGCTTTTCTTATGGTTTTGATATTTCAGGACCATTACAAAAACTGGAAATTTCGCTGTCTCTGAAAGGAGTTGCAAACCTAACTAAATGCTGAAATCCAGCATTATCAGTAGCACAATGCTTCTAGTACTCACCAATATCGATGAAAAGAAAATCTTTTTCCAGGACTTTAAAGTTTAAAGATTTTAAAGTGCACGAAATGAAAGCAAATTTTGACAGTCTGAGAAAATGTTTTCGGCGGATCGTATATTTTATAAATGAAATGAACCTGGGTTTAAACTTCACTGAAATTTTCACGAGCCATGTGGGCTGCTGAGTCCTGACATTTCAAATTTAGGAGCCCACTGCTAGATTTGTTACTAATGTTAGCCCACAGTGTCTGTGATTTTTTAAAAAGCCCTTTGTAGATACTGGGACAAAAAGTAGATACAAATAAAATACATATAACAAATGTACATCTGTTTAAAATTGGAGTTCTTACTTTATAAAAATCAAATGTCATATAAATATTTAATCAGAGGAAATAGAATTGAATTCAATCAATACTTTTACTGTCCTTTTTTTTTTTTATGCGATAGTAATGCGTCCGTCGTCCGTCCGTCCGTCTGTCTGTCTGTCTGTCTGTAAACAATTTTTCAAAATGCAACTCCTCCTACAGTTTTGGTCCGATTTCAATATAACTTGGCACACAAGTAGACTACAGTAAGATACATACTTTTGTGCATCGGTTTTTGATTTCGATGAACAGTGTTGCCGTGGTTACTAAAAATAGAAATTTCTGTGAAAAAAAATGCTACTCCTCCTACAGTTTTGGTCTGATTTCAATATAACTTGGCACAAAAGTAGACTACACTAAGATAAAATTTGTGCATCGGTTTTTGATTTCGATGAACGGTGTTGCTTTTAAAAAAGAAATTTTTTGAAATTCTTTCAAAATGCTACTCCTCCTACAGTTTTGGTCCAATTTCAATATTACTTGGCACACAAGTAGACTACACTAAGATACATAATTCTTTGCATCGGTTTTTGATTTCGGTGAACGGTGTTGCCGTGGTTACTAAAAATAGAAATTTCTGTGAAATTCTTTCAAAATGCTACTCCTCCTACAATTTCATATAACTTGGCACACAAGTAGACTACACTAAGATACATAATTCTGTGCATCGGTTTTTGATTTTGATAAACGGTGTTGCCGTGGTTACTAAAAATAGAAATTTCTGTGAAATTCTTTCAAAATGCTACTCCTCCTACAGTTTTGGTCCAATTTCATTATAACTTGGCACACAAGTAGACTACACTAAGATACATAATTCTGTGCATCGGTTTTTGATTTCGATGAACGGTGTTGCCTTGGTTACTAAAAATAGAAATTTCTTTGAAATTCTTTCAAAATGCTACTCCTCCTAATTATCCGATTTCAGTATAACTTGGCACACAAGTAGACTACACTAAGATACATAATTCTGTGCATCGGTTTTTGATTTCGATAAACGGTGTTGCCGTGGTTACTAAAAATAGAAATTTCTGTGAAATTCTTTCAAAATGCTACTCCTCCTACAGTTTTGGTCTGATTTTGATATAACTTGGCATACAAGTAGACTATACTAAGATACATAATTCTGTGCATCGGTTTTTGACTTCAATGAACAATGTTGCCATGGTTACTAAAAATAGAAATTTCTGTGAAATAAAATACTCCTCCTGCAGTTTTGTGATTTCAGTATAACTTGGCACACAAGTAATACTAAATATATGTGCATTGGTTTTTATTTTGATGAGTGGCAAGGATCATTTTTCTATTTATTGCTGATTTAAAAAGTCCCAACTGCTACTTTTCTCTTCCTTTGTTTTAAGTATAAACCAGTAGAGCTACAGTCTCGACAGAGACTTCTGGTTTTTACATGGTAAATGTAATACATGTATACCTAGCCCCCTTCATATATACCTGGTACATGTATTTGCTTCTTCAATTGATGAAGTGACAGACACAATAAGATTTTCTAGGTTAAATATTTGAACTACAACATATCTGAAATAAGTGAAAACACTTACTATTCATATGGCAGTAGTTGGGAGTTATTAAAATTTATATATTAACAGGGATTAATCTAAGTTTTTGGGGAAACTACCCTTTCGTGAGATACTGGAAAAATTGCCGGGGTCTGGGAACCACGCGAGTGAGTGCAGGGCAAGCCCTGCCTGGGGGCCATTGAATTTCAGCATTTTATTGACCATTTAAAGCACATAAAGTATCAAAGTAAAACCATATTTCTCATGCTGAAAAAATTCAAAGTGGCTGAAAAATGACCAGATGGTTTAAACTGAAGAATTTTTCTGTGTTTGAGTTTACTGTCCAATGTTTTGGAGTTTACCCTCCTTATACAGGCATTGTTTTCATACATTATTTAATTTCATCTAAACAGTCTAATTTATAGAATTGCAAACAAATCGACAGGAGAAAAATTAAGTAGCTAGACTGATGATGAGGTCTTCTTTGTTTATATATCTATATATATATATTTTTTTTTTCGAGTATGCTATTATATCTTCATTGATATCTATAAATCCTGAAGTTAATAGTAATTTGAAAATGGAGTTTTCGCAAAATCTTCTTTTCATGTTTACTTCTGTTGTAAAAATTGTGAACTGGCAATCAGATTAACTATTTGTGAATTCAAGTTTGAGATACATGTTGATAATATTAACATTTTTGTAGAATTGAAATGATTTCATAGCAGCTGTCAGAGTTGAAAGTCGGATTTTAATGTATTTTCTTCTCATTTCAGATACAATGCCAAGAGGAGACACTGGAGGCGTACAAAGCTAAAGATGTAAACCTGCCACAATCTGTTGGACTTTTTACTAGTTATAATTCAAGAATGTGTCAATTTTGGGCATCTGTTATATGTATGTGTTACATCAATCTTCAGAAGTAACTTCATTAAAGGCACATTCAAAACACATCCATGTCATTTTTTACTTCATTTTGAATATGATGAATTTGATCATTTTTTGTGTAAAAGCAGATGAATGATTTATATTATTCCATTAAAAGTCAACTATTGATGCATGAAAACAATATACCCCGGTACACCAATATAGGGTCTAATAATGGTCAAGTTTATGAAATATGATCCATTAGTTCAGCCCTACATCATTGTTCATGTAATGCGTGATTTGGATTTTTGTCACTGAAAGGAGACCAACTGATACCTGATTTAATAAAACTAGAGGATTTAATTAACTTCTAAAAGAAGGAGGCTGGAATGATGAGACTACTAATATGAATTGCAAGGGCTGAAATTGTGAATTATTCAAATAGTTGTTATCTTCCTTTAGGTATTGCGCATGGATGAAGATCTTATGCAGTGACCTTTCGTGCAAATTACCTCAATGTAAACATAACATAAAGAGTGACAGGCAACTTTTGAATAAGGATTTCCATATTGCATAAATAGTTAGCATCATGGAGGGATAAAAGTCAAATGCATCTGCAGTGAAAAATTTGATTTTGGAGGGGAAAAAAATTGCCAATTTCAGGTGAATGGTCACAGAAAGTGCTTATAATTATACGGTGATTTTTAAGGCAATAAATTTTAAAAGTCAAGGTCGTACATCAAAAGTAGTATAGGAATATAAAGTACAGTCAGTACTTTGTACACAATTTGAGGGACAAAAAGTCTATTTTGATGAAATGTCGTTTTGAAAGACATCATGACCATTTTAAATTTTATACCGGAGTGTGTGCTATGCAAATGAAGATTGCATAGCATGACCTCTAGTGAGAAATTGAAATATCTTATAGTATAAATGTATAATCAGGAATACAGTTTCTTAATTTTATCAGGGACACAATGAATTTTGAACCAAGTTCAAAAAAGTATTGTACTTATGAAAGTGAAAAGCTGTCTTTGGCAATTTCAAACAGCCTTAAGAAATCTCTACTTTCAGTTTAATTGCACAAAAAGACAATTTTCAGATGAAAAGTGCATGCTTACAGGTTTCACAATTTTGAGAAATGAACTCCTTAAATTAAAAGGAGATTGTGCTCTGAAGTCTTAAACTTGCTGCAGCAATGTCAGCAAGCTAGATAATAAATTCCAAAGGAAAGATGTCGCTACCTCTTTTTTGTCCAAGAACTGTGAGGTGTGTATGACTATGAGTTTTGGAAAAGACAATTCTCTTTCTTAAGGAAAACTGAGAAACATGTAGGCACATACATGTCTGTGAATCTTATATTAGATCTTCAGCTTGTAAAGGAGAAAAATATCCATCAACTGTAATGTCAATTTCCTTCCATTTTCGATACCAAACAAAATCATTTCATTTAAGCAGTGCATTATCCCGTAAAGATTTTTTTCTCATATTTTGTCATTACTGCCATTTTTAAATTTTTGACCAATTGTTCAACACAATCACAACACACAAATTTTAATATATCAGAAAATCTAAAGCGTATGCTCTATCAATATAAGAAATGACCAAGGGTTTGGCATGGTCTTAGCTGACGGGAGTCGGTTGCTTTTCAAATGGGTTGGGAATAATTGAGCAAGTCATTACATATCTTAATTGTTTAAAACAAAATTCATATCAAGATTGTCAGCTTTACCCTAGATAGCCCATGAGTGTATTTGAAAAAAAAAATGAAAATCTTAGTACAGGTACTAGTATTAAAGCCAGAAATCACAAGTTTTTGCTCTCTTACAAGGATTCGGTGGGTTTTAGCTCAGTTACATGTACACTGGAACAGGAAAACATCCAGGTTCTGACAAAACCTTGACATGCAGGATTTACATTCAAAAACGCAAGTTCCTGTGCCTGTTTATCGTATGTTTGCTTGAGACTATACTTACATATATTTACATCCATTGAATATTTTCTTCTTTATTTCTTAAGAAAACCCATTGCGTTCATCACTGCATGAACTACATTGCAAATTTATTGATGTGGTTCAATGAAACGTACAAAGATGTCATCATTAACACAATAATTAATACTTTTAATCCTACTTAAAATGATAATTTAAACAGATATAAATATAAACAATAAAATGTCTTTCTTTGTTATATTGCAAATATATATATATATAATTATATTTACGCGGGTTATGTATTTTTTTCTGCAACAGCTGCTTCCGTTCATTCCAGTAATAACAAACAAAGAAAGCATTTTATTGTTTAAATATATGTCACTAAATTGCTGCCTACCTAGTTTTTTTTTAAGCTGTAGTAAGTGACCGGTTGTCATATTGTAAAATGAATTTTTTTTTCTCAAAAATAGAAATTATAACGCATTTAATCTTGCATCAAATTCTATTCAGTGTATATCACAGAAAAATAATGTTAACAAACATTGTCAATTTGATATACTAGTAAATGTTTTTTTTTTTTGGCGAACATACAAAATGATCACAATTTTATCACAGTTTAGAAAAGTTTCAACAAATTAAAACATTACAAAATGTATTACTTAAAACATATATCTGTAAAAAGAAATTGTATATATGTATATAACATTAACAAATAGATGTTGTATAAAAGAATGTACTCATGTACTGAGTAATACAAAACCTTAAAGTTTTGTTCACAGAACTTTTAGAAAAAATAAATTTACACAAAAAAGATAAAAAGAGTACTGTATATTGGTTCCTCTAAATACTGATTAAAAATGTATATCACAAATAGTTTGTTGAAATAAATATAACCTAGAACAATTACTAGTAATTCTTGAATGTGTACCCGATTGAAGCTCCAATTTTCATATAACATGATCTACGTATGCAAATGTCTTCAAATGCAAATTGTTTAAATCTAGGCAAAAATATTTCTAGAGAACCCAGCTGAAAAGTTCAGAAATATTGTGATCTAAAACGACTGAAAGTTAACAAACTTGGCATTGCTTAACAAGAGACCTAAATACTAACGTTAATATTAAGTCCCTGACTTAACCTGGTACTAGTAGTTCTTGATGCGAATTCCCGATTCCTGCAGGTCTGTATACATGGCGTTGTTTCTTTGTTCCTTGCAATTGGGTTGGGTTAGAATCACAAAACCATTTGTAGAATGAGCGATGTTGTAAATTCTTGATTACACTTGCCTTTGACAACCTTCTTTGTTCCAAGGAGTTAGAAATCCTAAAATCACACAAAAAGTTGATTTGAGAATCAAATTTTATAGTTAATACATGCACATCTTTCTTGCTTTTTCACATTCCAGAAAGGAAACTAGAGGTACTGTGGCAATGAGCTCACTAAATAATACCCCCGCCCAACATAAATATAATGGCAGTATCCATGTTTTGCTCTGGAAAATCCAAAATATACGTCAGATCAAAAGTAAAATAGGAGGTGCACAATGGCAATATGTAATAAAGATACTGTGAAAGTTTCATTAAATTTCCTTTAGTGGTATGAGAGGAGTTGCGGATAAGAGATAACAGACGGACGGACATAACGATTACTATTTACCCTCCCGTTTTTCAAGCGAGGGGTATAATGAATTGTATGTACCTTTACATGAAATGATATTTTATACATATTTAAAGTTTTGTTGTAATTTACATACTAATGATGGAGTTTCCAGTACAAAGGGCAGCAGCCCAAAAGTACATGAGTAGAAAGATCAGTCCCCAAACAAGCATCCAGTTCCTCATCAGCCAGCCCTGCAGCCACTTCTCAAATCGCTGAAACATGTATTTCAACAGCAGATGTAAGACTGCAAGCACTGCCACATACCCCGACATCTCCATTGCCATCTGTTAAAAAATTAAATTTGAATAGTTGGTTTTATGAAAATGTGCTAAATTATATTTCTAAGAAACAAGACTTAAGAGTTCTAAATAAAAACGTTCTTGAATAAAGCTAATGCAGTTACCTCACAATTTCAAGCTTATCATTTATTAGGTAGTGTACGGCTTATTATTTTTCAATGTTTTTAACTCAAAATTGTAAACTTGCTAGGGTACTTTAAAGTTTGAACAATGAATAGGCCTAGAAAATGTTTACCATTGCCACTTCCTCGTCTCCTGGACAGGGAGCTGGTCTCTCCATAACATTTAGATATATTTTCACCTCATCCCAGTATGATAGCTCTGGTTCTTTGCTGTGTATAAATATTTGAAAGAATAAATAACCACACATGTATGAACAAGTCAAGTTGTCTACTGTATGCATGCATTAAGAAAAAGATAATTATGTATACAAAGACGAGTGGCAAAGAGTGAATTATCAGTACTGTTCCATCTATTAAATTCACATTCTCCGGTGTCTAATAACTTTTCATCATATTCACTGGCGACAAGGGCTCTAAAAATCTACATTTTAAAAACTGAGAAAGTGGGAATGACCCGAATTTTACCGACTTAAATTATCATTTAAAGTGTACTTAATATTCTCGAAACAAGATTACATCTTACCAGTAGAAATACTCCTGGTGGTTGAAAAAGACAATAATGGTGAGAATCAACAATAACAGAGTGATATACTGCTTCTTATTCATCTTGAATTTTGACAAATGCCGCCAACTCAACTTACGTTGTCAAGACAGTATGGCGCATGCGTAGCATTGCTTTCTTGGAATCTATTTTAAGAACGACATATATCAGGAAACGAATTTTAATGCCTTAAATTTTTTTAAAATAAGATATCTAATATCATTGTTTAGTAATATTTTTAATGTAAAATTATTAGGAAAGATAATTGAACCATTTATGGTATATAAGTATGTTGGCCACCTCTTCAGAGAAATCCTACGTCAACAAATGCGATTGTGACGTCATATTTTCAAAGTCCGAACCAAAATAAAAAAAAGTAATAAACCTACAAAGTATTTGTACTATAGGCCTACTTATTTATCGAAGCACATTTCAATTTGTTAATTTTAATATAACGTTATCGCGACATTAAATTACATGTATGAATATAGAGTATGTTAAGACTAATTAGTTGATGAAAAAAAATAATATTGACTTTTTTTTGTAAATAACACAAATTAAGTTTTCAATAAAAAAAAACATTTACATTATTTAAAATGAAAAATGGAATTAACAAACAGCCTAAAGCTCAAATTAAATGTCCTTTGAAACAACACAGATCGTGAGCAGAGCAGACAGAACCTTTAAGACATTAGAGGTGGATCATCTGTCATGAAGAATTGAGCATCCCCTGTTGATTGGTGTGTCACACACCTTGTATGCTCCTTGTCATGATCGGGCAAAAACCCGTAAATAATTTAGTGCAACAATGACCTAACTTATTATTTAAGTTGAATGATATTGTGTGCAACGATTCGATTAATGCATGCGTGCAATAATTATTTGTCTCTTCAATTCTTTTTTATGCTTCATGTAATGGGAGATTCTGGGGATCATGTAGATGTAGTTTTTGTCCTGTCCTCCCGTCTCTCTGTCTGTTTAACCACAAAATCTTTAACCTTGCCCATATAACTTTTGATTGTTTGGAGCTAATTGGCTTAATATTTCATACATGTATTTCTTATGACAAGGTATTTCCTTTGACACCAACGTATATTACCTTTCGACCTTGAATTTAGAGTTTTGCCCACTTTTGCAAGAATTTACAAAATTCTTTGGGTCATAACGTTGAAAAGTAGGTCTATGGCTTTCATATTTCACATGTGTATTCATCGTGACAAGACCTGTCCATGTATATAAATATTTTGGACTTCTCTTTTGGGTTTCACAACTTTTAAAAAACTTTAACTTCTAAAAAATATTTTAACATTAGACTTTAATATATATATTTCACAGATGTATAAATTTGGAATAGTTGGTGCTGGATTTTTAATATTTCATAAAAAATTGAATACACAGGTGTACGGCTTTAATATGTGACAGGTGACCATTCCATGGATATAAATATTTTGGACCTTAATTGCCATTTTGAGTTTCACCAACTTTTTAAAAAAAACTTTAACCTTTTTAACATTTAGTAGTCATGACCTCATATTTCACAGTTGTATTCTTTGTGACAAGGCCTTTAAGTGGATACCAACACTTTTGACATTGAAGTTGACCTATTTAAAAAAACGCTGACCTTGACCATTACATTTAAACAGTTGGTGCCAGGACTTTGATATATCAAAGGTGCAGGTGTATATTTATTGAGGCAAGTCCTTTTTTTGTAAAACAACATTTTTAACTCCTTTAAATCGAAGATTCGGCTGTAGTCCATTTTTGTTTTCGCCCTGTTCGTCCATGTGTTTGTCTGTTTTTAATTAACTGTTCTTGACCTTACAGTTTGCTTAATATTTGCACCCGATCGCAAGAACAATTCACCACCAGCTGTCATACGGACTGAGGTATCAATGTTTCACAAAATTATCTTGTTATACCTGTATAAGGCAATATATCTTACAAATATACACAACATGCATAAAACATTACAATACTTAGTGTAAAGCAATTTTATTGAACAAAAAGGGTACAAGTAAACTCTTCCTCAAGTTTCTTGACGTATAACATGATTATATAACAATTTATGCCATAATTACACATAATTTAGTATGTTCACTCATGGTTTTATATTTGTTTTTAATAAATATAAATTGTTTTTAACAGTGCTGTGTCTCTATTTTCACTTCTTGGAGGTCGGTCTTGACGCTGGTCTACGTCCAGATCCAGGCTTGTCCTCGATGGCTCTTCGACTTCCGGGACGAAGGGAATTGTGGTCCAACCCTTGTGTATTGCTGTTGCTTGGGACAAGTTGTTGCTGAAATACATGTATCAATCACAAAATAAAAAGTTGACTAAATTGAAACTGAGGTAATTCATTAACTTGAACTAGTCATAAAGAAATGCTACAGTATATTGTTCATTTTGATCTCTCCCTCTCTCTCTCATTTAGTAAATTTCCGTCTGATTTCTTTTCTTTTTTTTTTCATGTCAATCACTGGACATGTTACTAACCCTTTCATTATAACGTCTTTCGTAGTACGCCATATCGTCTTCTCCTGGTCTTCTCATCTGAGACACACGCTCTGTGATGTCATCAAACATTTCGTCATCTGGGTTTGTTAAACCTGTTAGAAAAGTCCAGCAACGGTACTTTAAGAATAAACTTAAGAAGGTTACAGAGGTGACTTATTGTACCTCTATTACTATCGTAATCTTCGTACTTTCGTAGCATGCAAAAGTTCAAACTACACGTGTATCAATGGAATCGAACGCCATCCTATATTATATTACAAAATGCTTCATGTTATATATATACATGTAGTTAATACATTGCAAAATTAGTTTTCGCTTGTTTTAGCTATATACAGATTACAGAATTCTTATTTCTTCAGCAAAATATATATAATATTATTTTTATATCCACTTTGTTTCTTTTCTAATATTATACCTTTGCCTTCTTTTTTCATTTGATGAGCTTTAATGGCTTGGACATTGGACCGCAAAAATGGGTTGTCATTAGATGTTATCGACTGCTCCAAAAAGCCTTTGTTTGGTGCACCTAAAAATATATATAAGAAATGGCGAAAAGGGGTGTTACCGGTAATAAAAGGCAAGTGAAAAAAATCACTTTTTAATGGATTCAACTTGTACTTCTATTCAGTTGGATATGCTCTTTTTCCTGAATCCCATATTTTTTTATAGGTATACAAAAAAATATACTATGAAGGTAAAAGATGAAGCTAGTACACTGCCAAGGAAGAGAAAAAAAAATGCTTGTATTTGTACAACTATATAGTTTATACCAATGCAGTATATATTATTTTTGGCTGCGGTGTTTTTCTTTGAAGTCAAGTTTTAGATATGGGCGGAGCCAGCCAAAACTGTGCCGTGTAAATAAATTATTGAACACCAAGGCGATTTCATCATTTTAATTTACATGTATATTGAATGAATTACATGGGCTTTGTAATATACAAATGCAAAATTTCTGCAAGTGAAATAAAAGTCTTTGCATAAATTCAGTACGTATATATTAATTTGATGATTTTAGATCTCTTCAAATATTCAATGTAACTAGAAATCAAATTCTTGACATGAATTCCAGACAGAAATATATTAAAATGTCATCTGTTGTAAAATGTTAGCTGTACTGCATCCACAAAAATTGACCCTTGTTTGGAATGCAGCTCTAAATATATAATGAAATGGGAAATGGGGTTTCAATAAAAGGCAAATCAAAATTTTTCTTCTTTGATATCCAAACTTTTTTATGAATTTAAATTGTACTTCTATTTGGATATTCCCTTTTTCCTGAATCCCCTAATTTTTTTAAACAAAGATGTATACAAAAAATATATATACCATAAAAGTAAATGATGATGCTATTACCACTGCCGATAAAGAGAGAAAAAAAACGTCTGTGTATCTCAACAAAATGACTATTTCAAAAATGCCAGTATACAGTACTGTACTTATTCAATATTTCACACAAATTAGCTATACAACCTACCCTTTCCGCTGGGATCTAATCGCTGATATCCGTCAGCCAATGAGGAGAACCCTGTTATCCCTCCCATGGCAGCGTAGGGTGTTGACTCCCCCACGGGGTGTCCCCTCGCCTCTCTCTCCTCGGCCGTCTCTACGATCATTTTATGGTCCTTTACGGGGGCCATACATCCGCAAGTGAAGGAACTCTTAAATCCTGCACATTTCGTGCAACCTCCTAATGAAAGAATAGAAATGGGGACTTAAAAAAAGAAAATTAAACAAAACAGGGATAACAGTTCGTCCATCAAGAGTATTTTCTAGAAAAATTCTTACTGCACAAAGTAAATACCTTTTTAAAGGAAAATTTATGACCGAGAATATATATTTCATAAACAATGTAATGGCCTAAGTATACTAGTATTAGGAGCACATAGGGTAAATCAACGAAACAAATTACATGTACTAGTATTTGAAAAATTTTAAGCAAATACTTAGGATTAAAACAAACACAAACCTGATTGATTCACGTGTAATCTACATTTTTTGTTCCAGATTATACATTCATGTACATATGTATTCTATGATTAAGTAAAGAAGTATCTACTGAAAATTGAACGTTTATCTAAAGGGGTGATACCAAATAAAAAAAAAGACCAACAAGTTTCCGCTCTTTACAAAGGCACATGGAGAAAGGGAGAGTTTGAATCTACTTTATACATAATATATCTGTGAACATTGATGAACACAAACAAGTAAAAGGATCATTATGCTTGTGAAAAGACGTCGCTCATCTTGAAAAGAAGCTATATCTGCTTTCGAAAACTTTTTTTAACATAAAAAAAACTTTTCAAATCCTAACGCTGGAACCATTTTATTACATATAGAAACATTTAATTTGATATTCCGGTCATATAATTATAAAAATTAATCCAACTGTTTCAACATTTCTTTGCCCGTTTTAAAGGACAAACATACACTATGGATAATAAGCAAAATTTCAAGCTAAAGTGCTCTGAAGTGAGCAGATAAAGCAAACAAAAGTGGAAATATTAAGGATCGAGTGAAAGAAAATCAAAATCATTTGGGTTATTGATAAACACAAGGTAAAATTCCGTGTCCTTTATTGTTAAAG